CGCTCCAGGCTACCTACAGGACCTGCCTATCTACTCTCCTCCTCGATCCCTACGCTCTGAGTCCAAGCTTCTGTGTCGCATTCCCAACATCAAGACTGTGAGATATGGCCAGCGTTCCTTCTCATATGCAGCGACATCCGCATGGAACAGCCTCCCAGAATCAATCAGAAGATGTCCAAATCTAATGTCTTTCAGACGTCAACTCAAGACCTATCTCTTTCAACAGCTCTGAACTCTTTTTATTTGACTGTGCGCTTCGAGCATGCATCAAGCATGGAGTAATGCGCAATACAAGTGGCCTATTATTATTATTATTATTATTATTATTATTGTACCCATGTGGAAAATAAAATATGTTTAGCAATATTTCAGCAATATCACGGCGGGGGACAATGGAAATTGGCTTCACGCATTGTACCCATGTGGAAAATCGAACCTGGGTGTTCGGCGTGATGAACGAACACTTTAACCTCTAGGCTACCTCACCGCTACTACTGCACAACAAATTTCAGCACCTTCGGCCACTATACCACCCATTTCCCGCAATCAAGTAATGGCACGGCTATTGTAGAAATCATATAGTTAACATGAAAAACATGGACTGCTTCTCGTTTCAAAAGGCAGCACATGTCCCCGTATTGTAAACAGGCCATTGTCGTATTTGTAGTTTCAAAGTAAAGGCATCAATATTTAGTACGACCCAACCCAAGGGATAAAGCACACGTGCCGTTAATGAATGGTTGCCAGAAAACAGAAACCTTTGTCAACAGTGGGACACAGCAAGGCGGCTGTCTAAGACCTTGCATATTTTAAGATCAAAGCCAAAATGTCACAGTATAATCCTATTTAAACACGTATCGGATAATATTTTTTACAACTTAGCAAATTGTTATGTCAACATAATCTTTCTTAATGTTACAAAAGTTGTATAAAAAAGCAAATTGTTTTATCAAAATGTATCGAAACGGTGAAACTGTTTTTCTCTTGAGACGTCTGTGATATCAATGACTAGACCTAGCCCTGTAATGTCTATATTGGATGTAGGTCTAGACGGTGTGTTCCTGTACGCTGAAAAGGATCTTGATAATTGAGCCGCTGAGTAGTTACTCACATGTTCCGTTGAACGTTGGCATTGATAGTATTTTTAGTATATTTATAACGTACGAATATTCTGTATATTTGTACTCTCTTGTGTCCTTGCAATAAGGTTGTGTGAACTGATGAGTAGTCTTTTCTGAAAATAGTTAAGCAATGCATCCATGTTCAGGTGACATGTGACCCGTGAAGGTCCGGGTTAGAATATTGATCTTCAGTAACCCATGCTTGTCCTAAGAGGCGACTAACGGGATCGGGTGGTCAGGCTCGCTGACTTGGTTGACACATGTCATCGGTTCCCAACTGCGCTGATATCGATGCTCATGCTGTCGATCACTGGATTGTCTGGCCCAGACTCGGTTATTTACAGACCGCCGCCATATAGCTGGAATATTGCTGAGGGCGGCGTAAAACTAAACTCACTCACTCACTCAAGTGACATGTGCTGCCCTTGGTGAATGACAACTGAGATAACAATGTTTAAGTTGTAATGAGCGAGATTCTGCAGACTCAGTTTCCACCAGAAGCCAAGCAATTTACCAAATCTTAATGAGATACATACACACACTGACACAGCAAACGCTCGCACACACACACACACACACAATATTTATAAATCCACACAGGCACAAGAAAAGATCAATCTATCTGTCTATCCTTCCATCCATACATGCATTCGTCCATCCATCCATCCATCCACCCCCACACCCCACTCCACCTCAACCCCACCCCCCACATATATATACATACGCGCACATGCATACACTCAGAGACAAGTAAAAAAAAAGCAAGACAACTCAAAACAATTACATAAATACAATGGTGTAACTGACAACATTTATTTAATGATCAGAAGTATATCAATTAGCTGCCTCAGTGACGGTGCACGTAGAGACTGCACTTAAATGTTATGTTAATTACGAGTTACCTCTGAAATGCGTGACAAGTCACTGAAACCTTGACGCTACTTCCGTATCAAAGCCAGCAAAATGAGAGGCTTCGCTCTGTTACCCATGCAACAATTTTGTTGTTTTTAGCCGAGCATTTACCACCCGGAGAACAGACAGCCGTTATCGACTTCTAGGTGCTGACAATCATTGTCCGTCAACCTACGAACTCCGGTAGTGGATACAACCATTGTCTGTCGACCTACGAACTCCGGTAGTGGATACAACCATTGTCTGTCGACCTACGAACTCCGGTAGTGGATACAACCATTGTCCGTCAACCTACGAACTCCGGTAGTGGATGCAACCATTGTCTGTCGACCTACGAACTCCGGTAGTGGATACAACCATTGTCTGTCGACCTACGAACTCCGGTAGTGGATACAACCATTGTCTATCGACGTCTGGAAGGTAGACACGCATAGTCTGGCAACTGATGAAATCTGGAAGGTCAACATACGAACGAACTTGAAGGTTAGACACATGATTAAATGTAAAATAATGCACATAAACACAGCAAGCGAGAGATACATTCCATATGTACCTATGTATACTAAGGGAAAAAAGTAACTGTGCATTACATAAAATTGGATAAAATAAAAGTTCTTTGAAAAGTTATAAATATAACGCAAAATAAACATGTAGCAAAGCACTTTGCATGAAATTTGATGTCACATATCGCGCGTTGCACGTGTATTTTGTGCACAATGAACTTACTTTTTGCATGCTTTTTGACATCTGAAGTTCACACACCTGATATTAAAAATTGAAGAAAGCTTGGTTATTCTTTAGCCTGTGAATGTTGCGAAAACACGTCAATTTCAACCTAAACTATGCGTACGTCATGCCACGGCTTACAGAAAATCACCGTCTTCGCGCCATGGGTATGCTGGAAACTGGAATGGCCCAAAATAAAGTGGCCACACGTTTTGGTGTCGATCGAAACTCGATGGAGAAGTTTTCAACATAATGGGAACTCTATAGCTTTGCTCCGGACCGGCCGTCCACGCGTGACGTCACGTCAGCAAGACAACCACTTTCGGCTGATCCATCTAAGGAATCGATTCCAGACTGCCAGTTTCACTGCTCGGACCATTCCTGGCTATCGTCCAATCAGTTGCAGGACTGTACGGAGCCGACTGAGTTACATAGCACAACAGCCTGCCCGACGGCCTGCAATACTTCCAGTTTTGTTCCAATGTCTCAGACAGGCACGTCTTGCCTGGTGCAGACAAGCTACGGTACAGGAGACAAGATTGGGATGGTGTTTGGTGTTTTGTTCACTGACGAGTAGAGATTTCATCTGGACAGTTCAGATGGCAGGGCAAGGTTGTATAGACGGCGAGGTGAACGGTATGCTGACGCGTGCGTTGTTCAATGCCTACAGTTTGGTGGCCCCTGGTATGGGGAAACATCACATCTGGACGGACACAACTTATCTTTGGCAATGGCAATCTGGCAGGTCTTCCGATACAGGGATGGCATCTTTGGGCCATATGTGCAGCCGTTCATTCAAGGACGGAGATGCAGCTTTACGCTTCAGCAAGATAATGTCCGTCGACATGTCGCTCGTTTTATGACATATTTCCTGAGACAGCAGAACATTCCGGTACTCCCCTAACCAGCTGTTTCTCAGGACCTGTCCCATATCGGGCTCGCTTGGGATGAAATGGAGCGACGTTTGCGCCAAGCCCAGAATCAGACAATGACCGTAGCTGAGTTACGACAAGCTTTGGTTCAGACATGCAAAACATTCCCCAAGCTTTCTTCAATCGCGCAGTGTCGTCTATGCGGCGTCGTTGTCTGCATCAACGACAATGGTAGATACACACGACACTGAATTTGTGAACTGACTTTTGACTCCACATCTCTTCAAGGGCGTGTCACGATGCCCAGTGTCAATCATACAGATTTCGATATTATCCTGTCAACGGTTAAACAGTGATTAAGGAAAACACCACAAATCATGTTATTATCTGTTTCCATAAAAATGGCATTACATCAAATAATGCACTGTTACTTTGTTCCAGTAGTATATAAGCGAACATGATATACCATTGCATTTAAATATGTAAACATGCAGGATAAAACCATTTGGGATCAGGAATATTTTGGAGATTCAATTTCGCATTGAAGATTGGCACTCAGTTTCATAAAAACGTTAAGCAATATATATTCATGGTGCTTGACGTTATTGTTTAAGACACGCATATAATGTCCTAATGTCCATATCTATATCGTGTACATAAACTGCTGACGTGTCCTTTTACACAGTGCACATGAAATTGAAATGGGTAATAAAACAGCAGAAACAGTGGTGGTAGCACGTGGAATAAACCATGCGGGGCAAGGGTAGAAGACTGGCAGAATGCTGCTTGCTATATATTTGAACTTGACATTAATCATGACTGCGATCGATGGATATTCTTTTGTAACAGGTTGGTTCTCGGTTGGCACATACGGAGGATTGGAATTACACACCCTCCCCCAAACCACGTCAGCTGTGAAATGTGATACGGGTTTAATCAGTCTAGTACTATTTCCTTTTAATTTCTTTCTTAATTTTGCAGATCTAATGGAGATGACGACACTATGGTTAGGATGACATCGGTATGCAATAGATGCCAATACTGGTACATAGATGATAACACAATGATATAGATAAGACTGTTATGATGAATATTGCACCACTATCGCGGAAGTAACGCCATTTTGAAGATGACAGCACTAAGATGATGACAACATTGAGATGAAGATAGCAATGTGATGAAAATGACAACACTGTAAAATATGATAACGATATGATGACGATGATGACAACACAAAGATGATGATGACAATGTGATGGAAATGACAACACTGTAATATATGATAACGATATGATGACGATGATGATAACACAAAGATGATGATGACAACAACACTGTAAATATGATGATGATGACGATGATGATGACAATGTGATGAAATGACAACACTGTAATATATGATAACGATATGATGACGATGATGATAACACAAAGATGATGATGACAATGTGATGAAAATGACAACACTGTAATATGTGACAGCGACATGATGACGATGATGACAACACAAAGATCATGATGATGATGACAACAATGTGATGAAGATGAAGCAGATGACCACACAGTGATATAGGTGACACCGATATGATGAAGAATACAACAATATGATACAGATGAAAGCACCATGTAGTAGACAAAGAAGGCGGATGATGCTTCTGGCAACCGGGCTTCTCACTTGCTTCTATGTCTGTCTGCGATGGGTCGCACGGGACAACCACCAAACCAGTTACAATAGTAGTCTTGGCACAATAAACGAAAACGGTAAAAACAAATTCATGGGTCTGTACTTCAAGAAACTGCTGAATCTGATCATGGCTTGGTTCCTTATCAAGGACGAGAACCAAAAGGACGAACTGTTGAACAAACATCGCTTCGTGTTTGGCTTGAATTCCAGGCAGTGTCTCAATGTTACTATCAATGTTTTGATTGTTGTACATTCTGATCCAAGAAATGTTGAGAAACGAGCCGTGATACGTAACACATGGGGATCAGTGAGCAAGTTTAGAAATACGTCAGTTGCGTGTGTGTTCATGATGGGACAACGAAATGCCATTCAACCAGAGATTGTCCAAGAATCCCGATTGTTTGGGGACATTGTTCAAGGAAACTTTGAAGACAGCTACGATAACTTGACGTATAAACATGTAATGGCGCTTCATTGGGTGATTACTCAATGTCATGACGTGAGAACGATTGTCAAACTTGACGATGATGTGTTTGTCAATATTTTCAAAGTAGTAGACTTTTCGCTAACTACTGGACACTACCACAACAGTTTGTACTGCAACATCTTACAGAATGGTAGGCCATATCGAAGGGAAGGAAAATGGATCACTAGTAGGGAAGACTATCCTTTCGAGTTTTACCCCAATTACTGTGAAGGTATGGCCTATATTTTATCAGTGGATGAGGCTAGAAGATTGATAAAAGCCTCAGAAAACACGCGATTCTATTGGATAGATGATGTTTACGTCACAGGTATTCTTGCATACAAGGTTGGAATTGGCCGTACACAGTTGGCTGAAACTCACAGATCTCTCAGAGAATATGAGACTAGATTTTTTTTCCATGACAATGAATATGAGACTACAGTCAACCTAGATGTTCTCTGCTTTTCCATGATTTCAAAAGCTTCAGCGATCTTTATGATGAATAAGGTCAGGTCTCACCCGATCCTTAGTCGCCTCAACCTAAGATGTTTGCTGTAGCATCACCAAGTTAATGTGGTTTAGCAGCAAGAAACAGACATTGACTTTAGGATTCATTATAATGTTTAGTCAATACAAAAACAAAATATGTGAATAATTACCAGAAGACCTGTTGGGAACGCAACATGTCTACATAGGCATAACATATTCATTTGGCAATTTCTTGGTTATACATGTATCCGGATATCCGGGGTCTCACTGTACTTATCGATTTCCTTAACCGTTGTTTTCTCATCAATCGCCTACGACTCATAAGACTGGATATAAATAACTTTTTTCCCCCACTTAAATATAACATAAGTTATGTTTAGGAGAGGCAAAGTTATGTTTAGAATGTAATAGGCGCCCTCTAGTAGGCAACCCAGTGACAGGAGTTCAATGTAGAATGTACCTCGGTGTTTCCCTGTTCATAGTTTTATTATAGACTTTGCGTTGTGTACTTTTATTAAATGATGGAAAGCTTTAAAACCAGCGGAACAGTGTACAGTCTTCTTCGGTTCAGTGGCAGTAGTCACCTCTTGCAGCAAAATATGACACAAGGCAGAAATGCAAATAATACTAATTTATTCTGTTAAATAAAAATAAGGAAAACAAGCAAAACAAATGATAACAAAAACTGAACAAAATATCTCTCTTTCACTCGCTTAAAGAAACCTATCCCCTACACTAATCCCTAAGTTCTACATGACCTACTTAATTCCTAACACTAGTTTCTCCCCCAACCCACACTACCTACATGTTAAACCCGAGAAAATAAACTATGTCATAATCTATGTTCTTACCTCTCCCGACTACAGTATGAAACTACTTCTCCAATAAGAGTCTAAAAAACCTAACCCAAACCTAACGAGCCGTAGGGAATATCCCCCGTATAGGCAGTGGACTTACTTGCTCGGAACACCGATACGCAAGACAACGATATCGGTCGCATCAGGCTCTTATATACCCCGTGAGCTAACCTCCGAAAGGTCACGACGAAGTGTTACGATTGGCTACGCAACAGTAAACAACTTCACCGCGGCACTGCGCACCTTCCGCTTCCGCTCCCAACATGGCGGACAGCGAAGGGATACGACAGATACCCAGCTACCTTACATGACCGACGAAGGAAATTCCAACCGAATTTTACTGCCAAACGTGAGTAATAAGTAGAATAAATGACTACAAGATAACGACGTCAATACAGTACTTGCAAAATAGGCAGTAACGTAATTATAAGCCACCCAACCTATTTGTTTACATTAGCAAACCAAGTATATAAAAACCACCCAATCTGCCGATAAATAAATATAAACAACTCATAACACTATAACACTATTCTATTCCACCCAACATCCCATTTCTAAAGTATAAATTATCCGAACTCCTACAAGAAGATGCAAAGTATATTCCACATATTGTAAATTGGTTATCGTAGATTAATACAAATTTCAAGATAAGAAAATAGTCTTAACAATTTCAAACTTTTCCATTACATTCGTTGTCCTTTAATTCCCCTCCTCTCTGATAAAGACTATATTGTTCCTGATCGAATGGCACAGTAAATTATTTCCTCAACCTGCGACTTTCATTGTTTTACCAACAAATATTTTTTAAGACAGAATGAATCCTTTAGACGTGTGTAATGACGCCAACACTCCCAGCTCGTTATTTTTGGTTGTAATTCGTATGTTCTTATGTTGTAGTTTATTGTATTTATTATGTTCATTGTTGTTCAATAAAAGTTGTGTGGTTGTATCAAATGAAGTAACCTGGGGATAGTCCTTCGACATTTCTGTTTAATTCGTTTTAACAAAACATGAACCACATCAAACCAAACATTCATAGCACAGATGACCAGCGTAAATAATCTTATTTCTAAAAAATACAAAATTTTCTAAGTTGTGTACAAATCATAAAAGGCTATTAATTTTGGCCAAAGATTTTACCAGATACCTTTAAACGTTACTTCATCCACACATCAAAGTAGGACATTTGAAATGTCTCAAAATTATATGGCTTCTTGATATCAGTGTATTACCTACGTACAACAAGGGGTGTCGTTATTGGGGAAAATAAGGTAAGGAACTCCGTAAGTAGAGAGACGATTCTAATACTGTATCGGGACATGATATAACATGAATTGAATAAAAACGGGTTCATGTGCACTCAACATATGTTATATCGTTGTGTAATTCAAGCTTAACAATTGGATGTTTTAGACAATCGATCACCTAATTGTATGGTTTGTTTGCAGGCTGCATGGCTGGAGTACTGCTGTGTCGCGTCAAGCTGTAAACACTTTCTTTTTAGTAACACATGTTATATTTGGGAATACACTTTCTCAGTAAAGTACAGATTCTTGTCCTTTTGTTGGGTTCCGGAACCAACACTCTCAGAGTCAGACTATGAAGGCCAGCACACAAAGTCAGCCGTCCAACCCACTCAGCCATCAAGGCTTAAGTTTTCAGGTAAAGTGTGTGACTAGCTGGAGCTAACGGTAGGGCAGGACATGCTTGCCCTTTAATTTTGATAACACGTGGTCTTTTTGATAACGCCATACTTGTCGCAAAAGGCAAATAACGGGACCGGGTAGTCAGGCTTGGTTGACGCCTGTCATCGTATCCCAATTGCGGAAATCAATGCTGTTGATCACTGGATTACCTGGTAAATAATCGATGATTTACAAACCGCCATACAGCAGCAGAATTACTGGGTACAGTCTGAAATAACAAACAAACACAAATAATTACAAGACGGCGAACAATGATGAAGTGGAAAATATGCATCCTTCATCTTTATCCGCCCTGAAACGTGAAAACCGTGTCCCAGAGGTAATGCGAAACGACGAGAAGCAGTAGCATTTTGGTGGAAATTTTGTGAAAATCTACACCATTCCAAAACAGTGGTAATTGTCCCAGGCGATGGTCAAACCTTGCTTGACTCTTTGGTAAACACAAACAAATCATTAATAATGGAGATATGCGTAAATGAGGACCATTCACCCGAGCCTACACCTGTCACATAATCCTCTTCGTCCGACATCTGGAGTCAATGGTCACTGAAATATTTAGGTTCAGGTCTTTCAGTGAAGCGAAGGAATGGTAAGCTTGAGCGGTCACTTGAAAACAGTGTGGCGGCGCCTGCTGGACTGGATGGGGAAAGAGAACAACAGAAAGGTATCTCCAAATAAAATGTTGAAGGATTGAATTAAATTGTACACTGCTTTTACAGATACTGCATGGATATCACAGCATATTACGACATGGAGGACATGTTTTTGTATTTGGACTACACCAACAAGGCAAGGTAGAATTGCGAGACAAGTTCGGTATATCGACCGGCTGCCATGTCATATATACACGTGACGCTTCAATGAAATTAGTCAGGGTGTATAAGGAGAAGAAGAAACGTAATTATCAACACTTCAAGCTGCCATAGCGCATGGAGTACCCAAACAATCGATGCAGTAACCACGCGTATGTGGTGTGTGGTCTGTGCACATAATTCCTTCCTGGTATGTCGGACAATTCCTTAGATCCGGGAGACAGGTGGAGAACTGCATGTTTATGTAAGTACCACAACCTGAATGTTCCAGAATGGTTCATTTACAAACAGTTTAGTCCTCTAAATTATGTATTTGGTATAAGAACGGAAAACAGTACGTGTTACTACTACCCCCATGTATACAACTCTTATGTAATGGTGGTAAAAGTGTTTGTTACTTTTCCTACTACACAATGTATTGTATTTTATATATACCCCATTATGGTCTTGTGGCAGAACCCCATTGCCCCTGATATCCTTAACTCAGACTGCCTGCTTGTTATGTGTCTTAACCTGTTGCTGTTGCTTGAATGTGCAGAGTTTGTACAACATGGTCCCACTCAAGAATGGGCTTCATTCGTATTGTACTCATTTCCCCGTCAAATCTAAGGGACTGCCGTGGCACGTAGCAAAGAAAAGAGCATCGCATCGCCATTGTTTGAGCTGTGTTATTAGGGCTGCGCAATATAACCGGTATACCGGTATTTACCGGTTCAGACATGAAAACGATACGTATTGCGATACGCTGATCGAAAACTTTTGACTTGCATTCGGAAAACTTCGTAACACTCGGAAATCTTCGGATATTTCCTTGTTTCATTTGTGCCAAATAGTATTCACATTTTTATTTTATCATGATTAAAAGTTGTTATTAAAGCTTAATCAAGCAGAGTGATTTTGCTGTGTTTTTGCTCTATAAATCAAGCGTTAACTCGATTATAAATATTTTTTTGTTTAAAAATACTTCATGCAATATATTGCAATACACATGGCAATATATGCTTTTGCATCGCAATATATCGCAGTATGAAAATTCTCTGCAATACCCACCCCTATGTGTTATGATGGGTTGTAATGTAGCTTTGTGTTGTACGATATTGCATTGTGTTGTGTTTTATAATGGTGTCTTGCATTACGTTGTGCTGTGCCCATTATGTTTTATTGTGTTATATTGCTTTATGATTGGATATCCTTTATCTTTTTGTATCGTTTGACGTTGTGTTGTATCATGTTGCATTTCGTTATGGTAGGCGTAACGGTTCAGTTTTATTCTACTATGGTGAATTTTGTTGGGTTTGTAATGTATTGTGTTATGTTATTGGTTTGTATTCAATTCTTTTGCATTTTGTTCTGTTCATCGTCTAATTTTATTTTTAGTGTTTAAAAGGAACATAGGTTTGATGAGGCCCTAAATGTCATCAGAAGACTTTAATATAGTCAAAATATGTTCTGCCCAAATTAAAATTTCTGAATTCTGTCGTAATGATTTCAAAATGTTACTTCATTTATCTAAGGATGAACATTATCACACTTACGTTTTCCATTTTGTATGTATATATATATATATTAATACCGAATGTATATCCATAATCAAACTGCCTACTGACAGTGACTGAGAATAACGGTGATGTGGTCGTCAAACGAGCTGTTTCTTCAGAAGTTAATATTGGGATTTGAAACCTCAAATTGATCAATCAAGATTGAGCATTTTCCAAATTTGTGAACATTCATTCTTTGTATTTCTAGTTTACAGGCACATATAAGTTATAGATCAAGCCAGTATCATCGAACATGTGCCGATGGACCTCATCCGGACGAAAAGAAGATGTAAAATGGCCACTGCCTTCAAGAACTGGAAATTCAAGGAAAGGGTTTCTTGTCTTGGCATGCTAATAGTGGTGTGTGTCTGTTACAGGACATTAGAGTTTCGTCATTTGCAATACTCTACCCAGAAGAGCTATCTTTCAGGCAGACATAATTTGAGAGTGCAGCCAGACAAGGAAAGATTCGTAGACCTGTACTTCAAGAAACTGCTAAATCTGATCATGGCTTGGTTCCTTATCAAGGACGAGAACCAAAAGGACGAACTGTTGAACAAACATCGCTTCGTGTTTGGCTTGAATTCGAGACAGTGTTACAATGTTACTATCAATGTTTTGATTGTTGTACATTCTGATCCAAGAAATGTTGAGAAACGAGCCGTGATACGTAACACATGGGGATCAGTGAGCAAGTTTAGAAATACGTCAGTTGCGTGTGTGTGTTCATGATGGGACAACGAAATACCATTCAACCAGAGATTGTCCAAGAATCCCGATTGTTTGGGGACATTGTTGGGAAGGAAAATGGCGCTCACTGGGTGATTACTCAATGTCATGACGAGAACGATTATCCTTGACGATGATGTGTTTGTCAATATTTTCAAAGTAGTAGACTTTTCGCTAACTACTGGACACTACCACAACCGTTTGTACTGCAACATCTTACAGAATGGTAGGCCATATCGAAGGGAAGGAAAATGGATCACTAGTAGGGAAGACTATCCTTTCGAGTTTTACCCCAATTACTGTGAAGGTATGGCCTATATTTTATCAGTGGATGAGGCTAGAAGATTGATAAAAGCCTCAGAAAACACGCGATTCTATTGGATAGATGATGTTTACGTCACAGGTATTCTTGCATACAAGGTTGGAATTGGCCGTACACAGTTGGCTGAAACTCACAGATCTCTCAGAGCAGATTTTTTAGACAATGAATATGAGACTACAGTCAAGGATGTTCTCTTTTTCCATGATTTCAAAACTTCAGCATCTTTATGGAATAAGGTCAGGTCTCAGTGCTGTTCAACCTAGATGTTTGCTGTAGATCACCTTGTTCAAATCTGTTTAAGCGTATCGCGTCATCGATATATTGGAAAGAAATCGCCAATCGTGGTTTTCTCGAAATCTCGCAAAATACCTTATGATATTCAATATAACACAAAACCAGTCATCAGTTTTATTACTTTTTATCCCCCCGTATCGATAGTTGTTGCTTCATGTATATTGTTTCGCGTAATTAAAACGTATCAATGACAAAAATTAAATTCGAATGTAGTGAATCTTTTCCTGTGACTTTGCTACATGTAATCATTTCCAAAACAAATCACTAAAAGACGCACCAGTATTTACCAAGTGTATGCATGCTGGGAACTGAACGTGTCATTGTGGGCCAATACCATCATGATCAACGTGAGAAATGTAAGCATAATTTGGCCGCCAAAGTGGCACGAGTGTCCTTCGCCTTGACATTGCTGAAATATTGCTAAATGTGGCATTAAATCATACAACTCTACTATGTGGTGTGCTTAGAGAACACTTTATCTAAACAGCAATGGTTTCAGTATCAAATTATTTTACCAACATTTTACCAACAAATTCTTTACTCTTTAAAATGGGATACGTATACAGCAATGTATTTGGTTATTGCAATAATTTATATCCAAGGCGGAACAGTTGAACATCTGTTTTAGTATTGCATCCACGTGAGTTCCATCTGTACGCAACTTGAAAAATGGGTCAACCAGAAAGCGGATTTATCCATTAACCTTAATAAGAAAGAGATACTTCTTGGCTCTATGCTACCCAATTTTGGACCAATAAATCTTTTAATAATTGTATGCAAACAATTTATTTTAAAAAATAAATCATATATAAAACCAATAAACTTTGAAATGATTCATTACTTTACGAAATACACAACAAAAATGTACGGACATCTTAACCAATTTACTAAATTCTGGTCATCTTGTCGCCTTTTGTTAATATAGACAATATATACATGTGCAAGTTTGTATAAATTCAACAAAAATAAAGAAATTATAGAAAACAAAACAATTTTACAGCAAGGCCATCCTTGACCCCCGGATCCCCCCCTGGAAAGTAACGCCATCGATTCCATTGTGATCTCTGATGTTAAGCTGTCTCAAACTACTTGAGACAGGGGGCGGTTGGGTAGCCTAGTGGTTAAAGCGTCAGCTCGTCACGCCGAAGACCCGGGTTCGATTCCCCACATGGGTACAATGTGTGAAGCCCATTTCAGGTGTCCCCCGCCGTGATATTGCTGAAATATTGCTAAAAGCGGTGTAAAACTAAACTCACTCACTCACTTGAGACAGCCTAACATCAGAGATCACATCAGAAATAACCACTAGAACATGTTTTATGATCACATGAGTTATTTAGTGACATGTATCCAGTAAAATGTACTGAAGTGTAAAATAATAATTCAGATAACAATTCTCGAGGACAATGCGCCTCTGTAGTGTCTTTACGAATAGATCAATAGCGTCAGCTTGAATTGCATTTGCAGTGGGTAAGCAATAAAATTGGAGCCATTTGCTGTAAAAGAAATGGCTTGTTGTGACAACGTTAGCCTCAAGGTTCTTTGGAGTCTGTTACAACGTTTCAATTGTATGCAAATGTCATAATATTGATTAGGAAGTGCGTATGACATATTTACTACTCGAGAAAATATCGTGCAATAACAATTGCACAATACCGTTCAGGTGTTCTGTACAGATCATATTCCTCTGAAGCATGAATTAATAACATCAATCAAATAATGACACTTCATACAAAGGATTGATCGTTAAGCTTTGCCATATTTCTTACTCTGAATATTGATTGAAAGTTGATTCCTCCCACGTGACGACGCTGTGGCCACAGACAACGAGGGAGAGCTGCCGCATCGAATACTATGTTGAATATTTTGGTCTCAAATGACAAGACAGATTGAATGTAACTTGTCAATGGGTTAACATATAAAACACATAAAAACATAAAAAAAATTTTGACAAGTTTAGTTTCCAAATGCTTTGGCTTCTTGCCATTTCGCCCAAAAGTTCTATTTGTCATAATGTGTTGGTGAGCATCACGAGTGAGTGAGTGGGTGAGTTTAGTTTTAGTTCCGCACTCAGCAATATTAAAGCTATACTGTGATGATCTGTAAACAATAGTGTCTGGACCAGACAATCCAGTGATCAACAGCATGAAATCATTAGATAAACAAATGCTTAGGCGGAGGAATTAGGACTGGATCATCTTTTTTGCTACCCTCATAGACATACCTATGTCTCGAATACATCGATAAGTCGAATTTATTACTTGGTCCCCAGCGATTCGACTCATCGGGATTTGACTGTATGTGAATAATTACCGGAAGACCTGTTGGGAACGCAACATGTCTACATAGGCATAACATATTCATTTGGCAATTTCTTGGTTATACATGTATCCGGATATCCGGGGTCTCACTGTACTTATCAATTTCCTTAACCGTTGTTTTCTCATCAATCGCCTACTGTCTAACTTCGCGTATGTGCCAATTGTTTTCACGAATTCACAATTAGTCTTCACAGTATACTATATACTGTTTCATGAATACTGACTCATAAAACTGGATATAAATAACTTTTTTTCCCCCACTTAAATATAACATAAGTTATGTTTAGGAGAGGCAAAGTTATGTTTAGAAGATGCAAAGTATATTCCACATATTGTAAATTGGTTATTGTAGATTAATATAAATTTCAAGATAAGAAAATAGTATTAACAATTTCAAACTTACCCATTACATGACTCGTTGTCGTTTACCTTACCAGCACTTCCAAACACCATACTTTTTGAGACATTATTTTTCTTATCCCCATTTGTTTGAATAATCTGACAGGGTATAGAGCCAAAACTATCAGATTCAGAGCATAAAAACTTGATCCACTGCATGATCAGAAATAGACACAGGATGGACAATTACTTGGTAAAAATGATATTTCAAAATCATTATTCTACAATGAAAACACATTGGCGACAATACCTCACCTTGCATGAGACCTTTTTTAGACTATAGGATATTTTTAAACATAGGTATCTACACAGACGTATACATTCATGCATCACTTTTCCTGTTATTCCAACCTTTAACAAGGAAACAAACATAAAACACATCCTTAGTGACATTGGGAGAGTTCCTTCCAAGTCTGAAAAGATTTTCATAAGATTAATTTGGATTTACAATTTTTGATAGTGACAACATACATTTTGATATTTTTAGTAATGAAACATTCAATACAGAAAAAAATTGCTAGTGAAAGCCCTTAACCACACGTTCGTAAAGTGCTCTAGTGCACAAGTGCAACCATTTTTGTGGCTTTATACAGCAGTTTTAGAGCCTGCATGAATGCCATAAAATGTGCAGTGACAATGTAAACGAGAGCTGGGAATTAGAATAAAAAGACCTGTTTTTTATTCCAGGCATTTGAACGTTTTGTCCTTTAATTCCCTCCTCTCTGATAAAGACTATATTGTTCCTGATCGAATGGCACAGTAAATTATTTCCTCAACCTGCGACTTTCATTGTTTTACCAACAAGTATTTTTAAGACAGAATGAATCCTTTAGACGTGTGTAATGACGCCAACACTCCCAGCTCGTTATTTTTGGTTGTAATCCGTATGTTCTTATGTTGTAGTTTATTGTATTTATTGTGTTCATTGTTGTTCAATAAAAGTTGTGTGGTTGTATCAAATGAAGTAACCTGGGGATAGTCCTTCGACATTTCTGTTTAATTCGTTTTAACAAAACATGAACCACATCAAACCAAACATTCATAGCACAGATGACCAGCGTAAATAATCTTATTTCTAAAAAATACAAAATTTTCTAAGTTGTGTACAAATCATAAAAGGCTATCAATTTTGGCCAAAGATTTTACCAGATACCTTTAAACGTTACTTCATCCACACATCAAAGTAGGACATTTGAAATGTCTCAAAATTATATGGCTTCTTGATATCAGTGTATTACCTACCTACAACAAGGGGAGTCGTTATTGGGGAAAATAAGGTAAGGAACTCCGTAAGTAGAGAGACGATTCTAATACTGTATCGGGACATGATATAACATGAATTGAATAAAAACGGGTTCATGTGCACTCAACATATGTTATATCGTTGTGTAATTCAAGCTTAACAATTGGATGTTTTAGACAATCGATCACCTAATTGTATGGTTTGTTTGCAGGCTGCATGGCTGGAGTACTGCTGTGTCGCGTCAAGCTGTAAACACTTTCTTTTTAGTAACAAATGTTATATTTGGGAATACACTTTCTCAGTAAAGTACACATTCTTGTCCTTTTGTTGGGTTCCGGAACCAACACTCTCGGAGTCAGACTATGAAGGCCAGCACACAAAGTCAGCCGTCCAACCCACTCAGACATAGCGGCTTAATGTTTCAGGTAACGTGTGTGACTGACGGGAGCTAACGGTAGGGCAGGACATGCTTGCCCTTTAATTTTGATAACACGTGGTCTTTTTTATAACACCATGCTTGTCGCAAAAGGCAAATAACGGGACCGGGTAGTCAGGCGCGCTGACTTGACGCCTGTCATCGTATCCCAATTGCGGAGATCAATGCTGTTGATCACTGGATTACCTGGTAAATAATCGATGATTTACAAACCGCCATACAGCAGCAGAATTACTGGGTACAGTCTGAAACAACAAACAAACACAAATAATTACAAGACGGCGAACAATGATGAAGTGGAAAATATGCATCCTTCATCTTTATCCGCCCTGAAACGTGAAAACCGTGTCCCAGAGGTAATGCGAAACGACGAGAAGCAGCAGCATTTTGGTGGAAATTTTGTTAAAATCTACACCATTCCAGAACAGTGGTAATTGTCCCAGGCGATGGTCAAACCTTGCTTGACACTTCGGTAAACACAAACAAAACATTAATAATGGAGAAATGCGTAAATGAGGACCATTCACCCGAGCCTACACCTGTCACATAATCCTCTTCGTCCGACATCTGGAGTCAATGGTCACTGAAATATTTAGGTTCAGGTCTTTCAGTGAAGCGAAGGAATGGTAAGCTTGAACGGTCACTTGAAAACAGTGTGGCGGCGCCTGCTCATGGACTGCTGGACTGGATGGGGAAAGAGAACAACAGAAAGGTATCTCCAAATAAAATGTTGAAGGATTGAATTAAATTGTACACTGCTTTTACAGATACTGCATGGATATCACAGCATATTACGACATGGAGGACATGTTTTTGTATTTGGACTACACCAACAAGGCAAGGTAGAATTGCGAGACAAGTTCGGTATATCGACCGGCTGCCATGTCATATATACACGTGACGCTTCAATGAAATTAGTCAGGGTGTGTAAGGAGAAGAAGAAACGTAATTATCAACACTTCAAGCTGCCATAGAGCATGGAGTACCCAAACAATCGATGCAGTAACCACGCTTATGTGGTGTGTGTGGTCTGTGCACATAATTCCTTCCTGGTATGTCGGACAATTCCTTAGATCCGGGAGACAGGTGGAGAACTGCATGTTTATGTAAGTACCACAACCTGAATGTTCCTGAATGGTTCATTTACAAACAGTTTAGTCCTCTAAATTATGTATTTGGTATAAGAACGGAAAACAGTACGTGTTACTACTACCCCCATGTATACTACTCTTATGTAATGGTGGTAAAAGTTTTTGTTACTTTTCCTACTATACAATGTATTGTATTTTATATATACCCCATTATGGTCTTGTGGCAGAACTGAAACCCATTGCCCCTGATGTCCTCAGACTGCCTGACCCTGCTTGTTATGTGTCCTAACCTGTTGCTGTCGCTTGAATGTGCAGAGTTTGTACAACATGGTCCCACTCAAGAATGGGCTTCATTCGTATTGTACTCATTTCCCCGTCAAATCTAAGGGACTGCCGTGGCACGTAGCAAAGAAAAGAGCATCGCATCGCCATTGTTTGAGCTGTGTTATTAGGTCTGCGCAATATAACCGGTATACCGGTATTTACCGGTTCAGACATGAAAACGATACGTATTGCGATACGCTGATCGACTTGCATTTGGAACTTTTGACTTGCATTCGGAAAACTTCGTAACGCTCGGAAATCTTCGGATATTTCCTTGTTTCATTTGTGCCAAATAGTCTTTACATTTTTATTTAATCATGATTAAAAGTTGTTATTAAAGCTTAATGAAGCATAGTGATTTTGCTGTGTTTTATCTCTATAAATCAAGCGTTAACTCGATTATAAATATTTTTTTTTTGTTTAAAAATTCTTCATGCAATATATTGCAATACACATGGCAATACATCCTTTCGCATCGCAATATATCGCAATATGAATATTCTCTGCAATACCCACCCCTATGTGTTATGATGGGTTGTAATGTAGCTTTGTGTTGTACGATACTGCATTGTGTTGTGTTGTATAATGGTGTCTTGCATTACGTTGTGCTGTGCTCATTATGTTTTACTGTGTTATATTGCGTTATGATTGGTAATCCTTTATCTTTTTGTGTCGTTTGACGTTGTGTTGTATCATGTTGCATTTCGTTATGGTAGGAGTAGCGGTTCAGTTTTATTCTACTATGGTGAATTTTGTTGGGTTTGTAATGTATTGTTTTATGTTATTGGTTTGTATTCAGTTCTTTTGCGTTTTGTTCTGTTCATCGTCTAATTTTATTTTTAGTGTTTAAAAGGGACATAGGTTTGATGAGGCCCTAAATGTTATCAGAAGACTATAATATAGTCAAAATATGATCTGCCCAAATTAAAAATTTCGAATTCTGTCGTACGATTTAAAAATGTTACTTTATTTATCTAAGGATGAACATGATCACACTTACTTTTTCCATTTTGTATATACATATATATATATTAATACCGAATGTATATCCATAATCAAACTGCCTACTGACAGTGACTGAGAATAACGGTGATGTGGTCGTCAAATGAGCTGTTTCTTTAGAGTTAATATTGGGATTTGAAACCTCTAATTGATCAATCAAGATTGAGCATTTTCCAAATTTGTGAACATTCATTCTTTGTATTTCTAGTTTACAGTCACATATAAGTTATAGATCAAGCCAGTATCATCGAACATGTGCCGATGGACCTCATCCGGACGAAAAGAAGATGTAAAATGGCCACTGCCTTCAAGAACTGGAAATTCAAGAAAAGGGTTTCTTGTCTTGGCATGCTAATAGTGGTGTGTGTCTGTTATAGGACGTTAGAGTTTCGTCATTTGCAATACCCTACCCAGGAGAGCTATCTTTCAGGCAGACATAATTTGAGAGTGCAGCCAGACAAGGAAAGATTCGTAGACCTGTACTTCAAGAAACTGATAAATCTGATCATGGCTTGGTTCCTTATCAAGGACGAGAACCAAAAGGACGAACTGTTGAACAAACATCGCTTCGTGTTTGGCTTGAATTCGAGACAGTGTTACAATGTTACTATCAATGTTTTGATTGTTGTACATTCTGATCCAAGAAATGTTGAGAAACGAGCCGTGATACGTAACACATGGGGATCAGTGAGCAAGTTTAGAAATACGTCAGTTGCGTGTGTGTTCATGATGGGACAACGAAATGCCATTCAACCAGAGATTGTCCAAGAATCCCGATTGTTTGGGGACATTGTTCAAGGAAACTTTGAAGACAGCTACGATAACTTGACGTATAAACATGTAATGGCGCTTCATTGGGTGATTACTCAATGTCATGACGTGAGAACGATTGTCAAACTTGACGATGATGTGTTTGTCAATATTTTCAAAGTGGTAGACTTTTCGCTAACTACTGGACACTACCACAACAGTTTGTACTGCAACATCTTACAGAATGGTAGGCCATATCGAAGGGAAGGAAAATGGATCACTAGTAGGGAAGACTATCCTTTCGAGTTTTACCCCAATTACTGTGAAGGTATGGCCTATATTTTATCAGTGGATGAAGCTAGAAGATTGATAAAAGCCTCAGAAAACACGCGATTCTATTGGATAGATGATGTTTACGTCACAGGTATTCTTGCACACAAGGCAGGAATTGGTTATACACAATTCAAAGAGTTTCATGCATCCGTTCGGTCTTCATTAGTGAAAAGTTCAAGTGAAGGATTGAAAATTAACGCAATGTTCTATCATGATTTACAGAAGTGGACGTTGTTGTGGCAGATGTGTTTGACAGAAACGTTGACGTTCATGAGATAAGTGTGTGGAGTTTATCTCTAACTTTTTCCCCAGGTGACCAACACAGTTTTTTCTAATTACGTCAAAGGGGATCATTAAGATATACGTTGATGGCATGTGGTTAGTTGGTGCTATTTGGAAGATATTTCACAATAGGGGTGTCCCAAAAGTTGGGTTCACAGACTATACAAGCAATCGGTTATGGTATTTTACGGGCACTTCACTACTGTTACTACACTGCTCTATTGATTGCAGGTGTAATGGTGCGTTCTCGACGTTTGAACTGAGACATCGCTGTAAGTGGGTTAAGTCATTATTAAATCAGTGCTCTGGACTAAATGAACCTTTTTTCGATCCGTTAAGTCGAGTGATTTTCTAAGTGGGCGAGTGAGTGAGTGCAATGATATTGGGTTGACGGGTGTTTTGCCTTTACGCCCAATGGAATCCATTTTTCCCTGGCATTCATTTTTCATATTTTAAATAAACTCTACTCACGCTCTTGTTCACTCTCATTCAATCTATTGGTCACTGGGGGTTGTGGCCTGGGATTTTAACTGATTCATATTAAAATTTAAATGGGGCACTGTAAAAGTTGCATACGAAACGTAATTCCATACGTCTTCAGATCGAAGTAATTTAGATAATTTTTCCTAACAACGGGGGACGGTGGGGTAGTTTAATGGTTAAAGCGTCCGCTCGTCACGCTGAAGACTCGGGTTCGATTCCCCACATGGGTACAATGTGTGAAGTCCATTTCTGGTGTCCTCCGCCGTGATATTGCTGGAATATTGCTAAAAGCGGCGTAAAACCATACTCACCAAACCGAAACATGAGTCTCATTAACCTATTCAGACAATGACCTACTTTTCAGCCGATCCGAATTTTCTCGTGTGAAAGTGAAAAGAGACGCCACAAACAACTATTGTTACATTGAATTCCAATTTCTTGTTTCATCAGAAATGATATTTACAAGTTAATTTTAATTTTAAACTTTAATAACATCGTATTTCTATATTTTATGGCGAGGTGTAGGCAGTATGACCTTAACTAAGACTGCCCCTGTTTGATGAGGTCGTAAAAATGATTCACAATTCATCTGGCTCACTGGTTACACCTGTTATGTGTTCTTCGCGCTTATTCAGTGTACGTTTGTAAGGCACAATGTGATTGATGTATTATCAGTGCCATTATTGAAGGGTCATGTAGCTATAAGGTAATATAATGCAAAATAAAGTATGCTGTGACAAGATTATAGAAAGAAGAGATAGTTTATTAACTGAAGGCAGTGTTCAGTACTATGCTGTGAGAAAAGGATCAGGACTGTATCTACACGGACATCAAACAAAGGGATACCCCCAAAACGGAAAGTCACAACAATGGAGTCCATGACCAATCAGTACTTTGTGTAGCCACTTCTCTGGTCCTGGTCAGAGTTACACCGAAACTTCATGCTTCTGATCAAGTTCATGAAGAATGCCCGTGGAATAGCCCCCCTGTTCTTGCACAAGAGCTCTCCGAAGACCCTGTAGATCTTGTGGAGCAGGGTGACGTCTGTAAACACGTCTGCCAAGTTCATCCAATGCATGCTCGATTGGATTGAGGTCTGATGAACATGCCGGCCAGTCCACCCGTTCCACACCCTGTTGCTGAAGATAATCAGTGACTATCCTGGCTCTGTGAGGTCTGGCATTATCGTCCTGTAGAAGAGTATCACGACCATAAAATCCATGCAAAGCTTGCAAAAAAGGGAATAGCAACGGGGGTCAAGATTTCATCTCGATACCGCTGACCAGTCAAATTTCCATCAATAACGTGAAGCTGGGTTCTTCCTGTAGCCATGATACCGGCCCAAACCATGACTGACCCGCCACCAAACCTGTTGTGTGTGACAACTGTAGCATCAGTGAACCGTTCACCTATTCTGCGGAATATTCTCCGAAGACCATCATTAAAAGACAAATTAAACCGGCTTTCATCTGTAAAGAGCACGGTCGACCATTGACGTTGATTCCAACGACCGTGACGTCTGCTCCAGGTTAAACGTGCATGTCTGTGACGTTGCACAAGTGGTGGACGGACTGGCACTTAATCGGCGTCGAATAGTGTTCCTACTTATCCATACACCATGAACATACTAATGTTCAGTCTGAAGGTCACCGGCGGTCACGAAACGGTTGCGTAAAGCGACGTTAACCAAGTGCCTGTTTTGCCTTGCAATGGTAACTCTAGGTCGACCTGCTTTTCTCGCATATTCCATCGATCCCGTGGTTTGAAACCTTTGCCACAGTCTCCAAAAGACACTTTGACTCACATTGAAGTGATTTGCAGCTTGTCGTTGACTGTGACCAGCTTGTATGAGATCAATTGCTTGACCCCTCTCCGCTGCCGTCAGGAAACGTCTCATTTCGTATCAGAAACCATGATGTCAGGGTGAGACTACAGATGACATTTATAGCCTAAATCTGTGCATGGGAAGTCGCACTTTCTCGTACAATGCAAGAGACAATGCTGCGTTTCCACGATACATCATTTATCAAAATGATCATGTTTTTGAAACACTGTATATCTTTAACTTCTCAATCATTGAGACATATGCGTAGCCTAATGTGTTCCATGGTGCCTTATGTCAACAGGGTTTTAACAGTATTGACTTCTCATTACTGATATATTCATAATATGGAATTGATTCCTATCAATGCAAAAGACACATGACCCTTCAATAATGGCACTGAGTATAATATCAAGTCCGTACCAGACCGCCAAACCTTTCTAGCGGCAGAGCCTCGTTTTGAGATTACCACGATTTCCAGATTTCCGTTTGTCAGAGCACGCTGTTCGACAGAGCACGCTGCGCGACGTGTTTGCAAAGATTAGAAAGAGCCTAGTGTTGCAATGTACAAGTGGTTAGATGTATCGAATGATACTGATTAATATTTATGCATCCAGTTGAATGAATTAGTCACAAAATTCTGGACTGGTTATTGTACTAAGATGCGCAATAGGACGCAACCCAGTCAGCAGGAAACGAGACTGTTGTGTAATCAATGTTTTGCATGTCACTCCTAACAACGGACCCATCTGACACGAGAGGGCACCTCAGACTTCCACTGTTCTCCGTCTCGAATGTTTCGAACTGAGTTCTCTTCGCTTTCCACACGCATACGCAAAAAACTGTTTAATAAAGTGGGAGATTTTGAAATAAAGTGGATGTAAATCCAAGGAAATACCCATTTATAATGAGGCAAGAAAAGTGTATTTATGCACAAAAGTAACGGTGCATAACATAAAATTGCATAAAATAAAAGTTATTTGAAAAGTTATAAAAATAACACTAAATAAACATGTAGCAAAGCACTTGTGATGTGAAATTACACAAAGAACGTTCTCAGTTGTTGCCTGCCTTTTGACATCTGAAGTTCACACACCTGATATTCAAAATTGAGGAACGGTTGATTATTCTCTAGCCTCTGAATGTTGTGGAAAACATGTTAGCTTCAACCTAAACTGTGTGTTCGCCATGCCACGGCTTACAGAAAATCAGCGTCTCCGCGCCGTGGGTATGCTGGAGACTGGAATGGTCCAAAATGAAGTGGCCAGACATTTTGGTTTCCATCGAAACACGATCTCATCTCTATGGAGATGTTTTCAACATAATGGGAACACGAGAGATTTGCCTCGGACCGGCCGTCCACGTTATGCCGTTAACGTGTGTCGTCACGTCAGCAAGACAACCATATTCGGCTGACCCATCTAAGGAATCGAGTGTGACTGCTCGAACCATTTCTGGCTTACGTCCAATCTGTTCCAGGACTGTACGGAACCGACTGAGGGAGCACAACATCCGGCGTGCAATACGTCCAATGTTGCTCCAACGTCACCGACAGGCACGTCTTGCCTGGTGCAGATAGCATACACGGTACACGAGACAAGATTGGGATGTTGTATTGTTCACTGAGGAGTCGAGATTTCATCTGGATAGCTCAGATGGCAGGACAAGGGTTAGTCTGTCTCACAGTCCCTGAACCACATTAATTTCCCTACTGCCAAGCCCTCTCTGCAGTGCTAAAGCCCTAAATAAAGCAAGTCTAGATTTCCTTAGGTTCTGAATCTCTGGTCTCCCTAGGGCTCCTTTTCAATATAAATGGGCTTGTTTGTTACTATCAAAATTATAAATATTCAGAGACTAAGCCTTAGTCTAGACAAGGGTGTACAGGCGGTCTGGTGAACGGTATGCTGACGCGTGCGTTGCTAAACGTCGAAAGTTTGGTGGCGAAAGCGTAATGGTATGGGGGTTAAAATCACATCTCATGATCAAACACTACTTTATTGTCAAGGGCAGTCCGACAGGTCTTCCACACACATACACACGCATGCACGCACGCACGCACTCACACACACACGCACGACACACAAAAGTGATATTTTTCAGTCTTCAGCGCAGGAATGCAACAATTCTGCTTCTGCTAGTGGGCGTGGTTTATTTAAGGTTATATATGTTAAAGGGAATGTGTGAAACCAGGGATTTCACGTAATCCCTAAAAGATTATGTGATTTCGTGAAATCGTGTTTCTACGTGTTATGAGACTGGTCATGTACCCTCCAAATGGGCCCAGGGGATCAGTACAACACGACTCTGGAGCTGACAACCAGAGAGACCCAAAATGTCTTATCGCGGCATCACACTTGCTAGTGCATCTTATTGTTATGATTAATAATGTGTCGTTGGGTGTTGATATAAGGATATCAACGATGTGTATCAATGTTCCTTTTGTAGTTTCAAAAGTTACAGAGGCTCTTTTTAGCGATTTCGCTTAGAATCGAAACTGAAAGAATTCCTGTTACTGTAAAGATTTTATTGAAGACGAGTGTCATGTTTTATTGCATTGTCCTTTATATGCTGATGAGAAATTGCAACTTTTATCTAAATGTACGAGTCTTTTAGATGTTTTTTTTAAATCTGGGTATGTTGAAAACTATATTTTAATTTCTACTTGTCCAGGTGTATCGTATTTTAACCGCCAAAACCTGCCTCAATATTCTTCAAATTCGTACTGCAAATATGTATATATCTCCTTAATGTAACTTGTACTCTTTTTATTGCATTTTTATTATTCATGTAACCTACTCTGTATATTGTGGCACAAGTGTCTCTCATAATTCTGTACGGAATTGCTCGACATTTTACTGTGAAATACTAGTAGCATTTAAAAAATTAGCGAGGTTTTAAAAAAAATAATTTTTCTTTATTGAAAATAGACGTTTAAGTATAAACAGATTAGGCCATTGGGAAGGAAAAGGTATTTTTCAAAGCACATATTTCATGTTTGTCCTCATCGTCTTCTCTCTACGAATGATGTGACAATGGACAAAGAACTGTTTCTCCACACAGCTGTGATTTTCGAGTCGAATTGTGGTGGTCAAGGTTTTCAGAAATGTAACTGTGGTCCTAACCAGTGTAAATCAATACGTTGTAAATGTTTTAAAGTGCTACTGAAGTGTAATAGCTTGTATCATAACATTCTATCTTGTCCAAACAAATGAATTTTATCAGCATATACTCTGTACTCGCATTATATATTTGGTGTTTTAATCAAGGCTGCCAAGGCTAATATTTCAGTAATTTCATGAAATCCCTGGACATTTTAGGGATTACATGAAATCCCTGGACATTTTAGGGATTACATGAAATCCCTGGGGGTAACTTTTTTCACTGACTCTTTTAGGGATTACGTGAAATCCCTGGTTTCACACATTCCGTGTAACATATACGCCAAATAACATTGCCTGCACAATCAAATACCAAAGCATCACTTGCAAATTATTTATATGTTTATTCGTGCAAGCTGGCAAGTCGTGACACCATTCAAACGGCGTTAACCCCCTCGCCCTCCCTCATCTGACTGTCGTACTGACGTCTCATCGTATAAACACGTTTGTTTGTTGGTTTGAGTGATTGTTTTGGCCACATTGAACGCTATCCCAACTGTATCACAGAGGACAGCCAATAGCCGGGTCCATTGATTGATTAGAGCATCGATCATCTCCGTCGGGTTACAACGTCAACCAAAACACGGAGCTAGCCAACCCTTAAATCCCATTGCCTGACAAACACATGGGAAGTGCTGGGTACACTAATCACATGAATCACCAGATGATAATGTGAACCCGTTATTTTAAAATCATAGCGTCAGTTATAAAAAGACACACCCAAGTCTAATGACACACCAAGATCTTATGTTTAAACAAGAGATGAAATAGGTGAGTCAGTCAGTGTGGTAAGATTTACACCGCTTTTCCAGCAATATCACGGCGGGGGACACCAGAAATGGGCTTTACACATTGTACCCATGTGGGGAATCAAACTCGGGTCTTCAGCGTGACGAGCGAACGCTTTAACCACTTGGCTACCTCACAACCCCAGATGAAATATGTGCTACAAAAGGCAAATTAATTCGGAACACCATTTACATAAATCAGTTTGACATGTTACATTGTAACATTTCTTCAACTCAAACTTTGCAGAATGGAAATTTGACGGCTATGCATATTCTATTGCAACGCGGACTTTAAATTCCACAAACGCCGCCACTGCAGTCGCTCGTTTAAAAGAAGTATTGTCAATCGAAAAGCTGATTGAAAAGCCATATGTAGGTCGGCGATAACGCCTTTCAAGCCCTACATGAATGGGGCAACTGAATTATACAGTTAATGAAAACACCTGCCTCGGTACACATTGAGAAACATTATTCTTGATAGGCGAAAGGTTCTTTAGACTGACTTGTGATCCACTTCTGAGACAGTGAAGAGCGACAACCATCTGACATGTTTCTTTATGTGATTGTGGATTAATGCCACGGTCAGCAATACTCCAGCTATATCCTGGCGATATCTGTTCTGTACCAGACAATCCAATGATTGGCATATTGAAAATCGATATCGATCTACGCAGGCACGATATGATCAAACCATGCCAGCGAGCCTGACCAGTGATCCCGTCTAGTCGCCTTACGACAAGCACGGGTCGCCGAAGATGAATTCAAACCCGGTCTATCACTGTGTACTATGTGTAGACTACTACTACTCTCAACCCCACCCCCTCAACCCCCCAACTCGCCCTCTTTCTCTCTCTCTCTCTCTCTCTCTCTTCGCTCTCTTGCTTTCCCTATCTCTCTTTCTCTCCCTCTCTCTCTCTCGGCGGGGGACACCAGAAATGGGCTCCACACACTGTACCCGTGTGGGGAATCAAACTCGGGTCTTGGGAGAGACGAGCGAAGGCTTTAACCACTAGGCTACCTGACCGCCCCAGAGGAAATATGTGCTTCAATAGGCAAATTAATTCGGAACACCATTTGCATAAATCATTTTGTCTATCGGACTATCACTGTGTACCATGTGTAGACTACCCCCCCCCCTCTCTCTCCCTCTTTCTCTCTCTCTTTCCCTCTCTCTCTCCCCTCTCTCTCTCTCTCTCTCTCTCTCTCTCTGAGTGCTATGTGTGTGGCAATTTCAATTGATAATGCATGTGATCTGCTTTAATCTACATTCAAAACACTTAACCCCACCTTCAACGCGATTGTATAGGAGTCCGCCCTAATCGGGTTTTATGGCACTGAACAGCGAGTTTTACAAGCCGCTAACATTTGCACGATCGCCTTCATACAAATGTAGCACAAAATCTCAGTGACACGAAATATGTATTGCCCATCGAGAATGATGTCCCTTAACATCCGGCACCCCCTTTTGTATTTATAGGTCTTCGTCAATGAAAGATAATGAAGCTAAATTTAGGATTAGAACATTTACGCGTTCACGCGATACATGTATCCACCGAGAGCCAACCACTAATACGCTAAACGAAGTTTTCACACGACCTCGTGTGTCTGTTAAGCCTGTATATCCGATTTCAATATGTCATCCTATTCAAAAAAAAATTATCAAAGAAAACCTTGAAAGAGATATTGTTAGTTAAGACGTCTGTCACGTGGTAGTATTGTGGTAGATCTGTAGACTAGATCAGGCGTTGGCTAAACTGGACAGGTAGTGATTGTGGTCAACGGTATTGGTCAGCTTAGTATCACACTCCAGATAATGTGTGGGAAGACTGTTCTTTACGACGCAGGCTATGTTTACCACGGGGGACACGCGTCAGCAATGGCTGTCAGATCAATTCTTCTAATCTTGGCAAATCGCGGATTAGAACCGTGATACCCGGATCCTGGTCACTCATGGATAACAACGCGGAACAAATCACCGAAGGACATAAACGATGCTAATTTCGCAAACGGTCATCTGTGAGTAATGATAACATCCAATGAAACAATAGCCTGAGACAATATCGACATGCCGTGTGCTTTGACTCGCAATACTTGAGCTCAGTGTTCATCTTACATAGATACATATATTAAACATGGGCGTTCCAGGAAGTGTATTACAACCAGTCACGACGGTGTGGGAAAGCCGTGAGCTTTTTGTGTGTAGGTAAACTTTGCGTCATTCAATCAAATGTGGGCCAGGTCGTCAGTAAGACGTGCGATACTACAAGTAAGGTATGATTGTGTCAATAGGAGCCTGACCCGGATGGATAGGTAGCTAACCTATCGGATAATGTCTAACCGTGTTCAAACAGTGGTGGGTCAGCACACACACCTGTCCCTTTGAGGGACATGTATTTACAACGTGTACTGAATAAACCCTGTTGAATAAAACCACATCTTGAGTGTAAGTAGGTGAATTGTAACAAATTGTGAGTAAACAAAATGGGTTTATCTGGGAAACTGTAAGAATATTGTGGTGTTTGTCTCGTCAGACACTTTACGCTGAACGTGGCGTCTGTAACTGACTTGATTGACGTCTGTTATATCTACACCTATCGATTGCTTGTACATTGCACGCGGCACCTGTGGCAGGATCGTTAGAAATAACTGTTATGTTAGGGCAGGTTGGCTCCTCGAAGGCAGGTTTGGGTCCACGCAGGCAGGTTGAACCACGAAGGCAGGTTGGCTCCAAGAGGACAGGTTGACTCCAAGAGGACAGGTTGGCTCCAAGAGGACAGGTTGGGTCCACGCAGGCAGGTTGAACCACGAAGGCAGGTCGGCTCCAAGAGGACAGGCTGGCTCCACGAAGCTCCATTCAGTCACAGGTAAGTGTTTTACTACTCACACATAACAAACGTTCAGATCTCTTTGTACATATTAGCGTGATCATGTTTAGACTGATTTGAAGTGAAGATGAGTATATTGTTTTGATTTGAAGTAATAAGTTACCTACCTGGAATCACAGACCGTAGTGTCTAGATTCTGACACCATAGTGATTGAGACATATTATGCAAAAACAATATTAATAACAAAGAGAAAAAAAATACACAATAATTTCAGTTTTAAGTAACCTAAACAAAATGTGTAAACACTTCGATTTTTAATAATGTATGTGCTCCCTTCAACCTCTTAGGAGTATGCTTGGATTACTGTCGGAAATAGAAAAAAACCTGTTTTTAGGCTCTTACTCTGTGTCCCTAAAATTTACACAATTGCAAATAGCATATGTCGAAATAACCCACTTCGGCCTAACTGGGCGTTCAGTGGGATGCGTAATACGATATCCAGAAAAGCATGTTTACTCGTAAAATCGGGCAAAACTTAGAAAAAATACGAATAGCTGCTGAAAACAATAGATCAGACTATAGATGGCAATTAGGTCGCTCAGCCAGGTATGACGACGGACCGTCGACTCACCTGGCATGACATGCATGTGCTGCCGACAGGCACAAGGGGTCATCTCAAAGATATTTTGTGCTTTTTCATGTGTGTTGACTATACCTCATCTATTGATTAACATCTTACGTGTCTTTCTTTCCTAAAGTTTATGTTGAGATATGTAAAAGAGTATGATACCTGATAACCATAGAAACGCATCGTATCAAATGTCTCAAAATATATAGGTGGCATGACCACCCGATCGCGAAGATCGACAGGACTGGATATTATTTGTAAATTGTTATGATATACCGTGTACTTCCCCAGTATAATTGCCCTAAAGGATTACTAGTATCTTATCTTAGCTGATATCTCTGTCCACTAGCCTGATCCCAACGATCGTCTGCGACACCCGTTCAGGTTTTGTTTTTGAGACGAACCCTCCTATCTGTTTCTTTTTATAGTGACAGTGAGACTCCATGGTAGCTACATCCTTAATAGTTTCAGCATGAAAGTTATTATTTTTTACGCCAGCTATCGTTTATAATGAAGCTACGTCTAATGTCAAATTGGGCATTTAAAAAGTGTCCTTTGGAAGACAATATCGTCGCACACTAATTTGCATAAAACCACGGTCTGTTCCAAATAAATCGTTTTGGACTTGGAACAAACCGCATTGCTCATTTCTGCACTAATCTCTCCTCAGTAAAGCCCTTTTTCTACGTTTCCTATGTCCCTACCACTGAGACTGTAGTTAGGCTGAACTTAGTTTAACAGATATTTCACACTTGCAGATATCAACTACATAAATTGTAGAGATAAATGAGAAAATACAGTTTTTTCTATTTCCGACAGTACTATAGTACCGGGCTTCTATTTATTGCTTACAATCATCGCAATTAACTACTGACGTTCCTTGTTAAGTGCCTACCTTTGTTATCTTATCACTGTTGGGGCGATGGGGTAGCCCAGTGGTCAATGCGTTCGCTCGTCACGCCGAAGATCCAAGTTCGATTCCCCGCATGGGTAAAATAGGTGAAGCCTATTTCTGGGGTCCCCTGCCGTGATATTGCTGGAATTTTGCTAAAAGCGGCGTAAAACCCAACTCACTCAGTCACTCACTCACTTATCACTGTGGTTGTACTTATATAGATATCTGCTTCCTAGTTTTCATTCACCTGAAGGAGTAAGAATACACTCCGAAACACAATACAGAAGTTGACATCCATAAACGTTCACCTTAATGTGTATGACTTTTAAACGCAGTACAAAGACTCTCAGTAGGCAGTCTGCCTAAAATGGTTAACACGAAAGACGGTTAAGCAGGATGTGAAATGTTGTCATGAGGAAACTAACAGCCACATGTACAGGGCATACCGATAAATGAGTGAGTGAGTTTAGTTTTACGCCACTTTTAGCATTATTCCAGCAATATCACGGAGGGGAACACCAAAAAGGCCTTCACACATTGTACCCATATGGGGAATCGAACCCGGATCTTCGGCTTGACGAGCGAACGCTATTACCACTACCCTACCCCCGGACCCACAGGACATACCAAGCCCATGAGGTAGACATACAGAGTATCAAACTACCTATGTGACCTGTAAAAAGATTACAAATATCCCCCAAATCTCCTGATATTGAAGTCGATGTTTATGATCCTCTATTGCGTGTGCTCCAAGCTTTACATGACAGCAAAACTATTCCCAGTGATTCAGTAAGTTAGATACCGCAAACAGCTGTCTTAAATCATTGGGTGGGGCCACAAACCATTCATTGAATGAACATCAAGTCTCTACATTGTGTTGATCCTTTCATAATTTGCACCTTCGCTAGACTCTCTTGAAACTTGACCTTACAATATGTCGTCGGTGTGATTAACTGTTTACTGAAATATATGTAAATCTCCATGACAACCGGACCAGCTAAGCTGTTGATACTATCGATGTACTGCTGAGAAAAACATACAGAGACAGCCGTGACGGATATGGAAAATCATTGATATTTTGTTGTCCGAGTGTACCGTTAGGCGGGTCAGGGTAATCGACAGCTTCAATAAATATTCCATGTGCAGGTCGTGCGTTGTTGAAATATTTGCCGACGGTCTGGCTCGGGATGCAGCAATCACACACAATATATCTCCAAACACTGACTCTAGTGAATTAATAATGTCATTAGAACACGAGCAGCAGTCTTTCCACCCCACATCCCAGAGTGTCGGCACTGCACAGAGACGATGCGGTGAGGGAACTATTAATGATGTTGTTGTTGTTGTTGTTGTCACAACAGCTGATGTATGTAAGTGTCATTTCCTTTGTGATAGGTACAACGTATGTCACCAGAACTGAACTGGTGTTGTATGTGGGTAGTGTAGTGGTGTATGTGGGTAGTGTAGTGTTGTATGTGGGTAGTGTAGTGGTGTATGTGGGTAGTGTAGTGTTGTATGTGGGTAGTGTAGTGGTGTATGTGGGTAGTGTAGTGTTGTATGTGGGTAGTGTAGTGGTGTATGTGGGTAGTGTAGTGGTGTATGTGGGTAGTGTAGTGTTGTATGTGGGTAGTGTAGTGGTGTATGTGGGTAGTGTAGTGTTGTATGTGTAGTGGTGTAGTGGTTGTAGTGGGTAGTGTGTATGTGGTAGTGTAGTGTTGTATGTGGGTAGTGTAGTGTTGTATGTGGGTAGTGTAATGTTGTATGTTGGTAGTGTTGTATGTGGGTAGTGTAGTGTTGTATGTGGGTAGTGTAGTGTTGTATGTGGGTAGTGTAGTGTTGTATGGGGATAGTGTAGTGGTGTATGTGGGTAGTGTAGTGGTGTATCTGGGTAGTCTAGAGGTGTATGTGGGTAGTGTAGTGTTGTATGTGGGTAGTGTAGTGTTGTATGTGGGTAGTGTAGTGTTGTATGTGGGTAGTGTAGTGTTGTATGTGGGTAGTGCAGTGTTGTATGTTGGTAGTGTTGTATGTGGGTAGTGTAGTGTTGTATGTGGGTAGTGTAGTGTTGTATGTGGGTAGTGTAGTGTTGTATGTGGGTAGTGTAGTGTTGTATGTTGGTAGCGTAGTGGTGTATGTGGGTAGTGTAGTGTTGTGTGTTGGTAGTGTTGTATGTGGGTAGTGTTGTGTTGTATGTGGGTAGTGTAGTGTTGTATGTTGGTAGCGTAGTGTTGTATGTGGGTAGTGGTGTATGTGGGTAGTGTTGTATGTGGGTAGTGTAGTGTTGTATGTTGATAGTGTAGTGTTGTATGTTGGTAGTGGTGTATGTGGGTAGTGTTGTATGTTGGTAGTGTAGTGTTGTATGTGGGTAGTGTAGTGTTGTATGTTGGTAGTGGTGTATGTTGGTAGTGGTGTATGTGTGTAGTGTAGTGGTGTATGTGGGTAGTGTAGTGGTGTATGTGGGTAGTGTAGTTATGTATGTGGGTAGTGTAGTGGTGTATGTGTGTAGTGCAGTGGTGTATGTTGGTAGTGTAGTGTTGTATGTGGGTAGTGTAGTGGTGTATGTGGGTAGTGTAGTGTTGTATCTGTAGTGGTTAATGTGGGTCGTGTAGTGTTGTATACTGGCGGTGTAATGTTGTATCTGTAGTGTTTCATCCTGGTTTGTAGTGTTGTATGTAGATAGTTTTATGGTGTAGATTGGTAGTACTGTTGTATATATTTAGTGTTGCGTTGTATCGGGTAGTGTGGTGTTGAATGTGGGCGGTGAAGCATTGTGTCTGTATATTGGTGGCGGTGTAATTAGGCTGTGTAGTGTTGTACCTTGGTTGAGTGGCGGTGTAATTAGGCTGTGTAGTGTTGTACCTTGGTTGAGTGGCGGTGTAATTAGGCTGTGTAGTGTGGTATCTAGGTTGAATGGCGGTGTAATTAGGCTGTTTAGTGTTGTATCTAGGTTGAGTGGCGGTGTAACTAGTTCATGTTGTATTTGGTTTGAGTTGCCGTGTAACTAGGTTGTATAGTGTTGTACCATGGTTGAGTGGCGGTGTAATTAGGTTGTGTTGTATTTGGGTTGAGTGGCGGTGTAACTAGTTTGTGCAGTCGGACGAATTTGCGTCAACCACAGCCTATAGCCCTCGGTCTTTATGAATGAATATTAATATACATTATATACTAGGTAGATACACACATGGCGGCACGGTAATGTATTCTTTTTGCAGGACGACACAGTTTAAATATTCATTTCATTTAACCTGTTTTTCCATCTTTGTGCAGTTTATTATGTGTACATATTCACATACGTAGATACAGACAGACAAAGGCACAACCACCTGTGTCTATACTATCTGTCTGTAAAAAGATTCATAGATAGTTCTCAGTGTAATTCCATTATATTAATATGTTTTACAGAAATGTCATTTTATCGCCATTATATATATGTAATCCTCAGTGCATGTAACCAGTATCAACAATACATACATAGACGCAGTCAGGTCGTTGCTGTACTAGTTGTTGGTCTTTGTGCAGAATGGCTCGTATGTGGTGGATACAGGGAAGACCCATGCATCGGGAAATGAAGACTTGAGGACCTGAACAGCTGAAGACGTACTGAACTTTTCCTTCTTAACATGTCCAGAAACTGAACAATGCCTTATTTCAGAATTCGAATCTTGAAGCATTGTGCATTAATAGTGATTCTGGGGCTATTCGTCGTGTATATTTGGAACCAAGGGCAGACAAACTGGATGTACATGTTGGGGAGGGATATCCCTCCCAAGGATCCAATGAGCAAATTAGAAATCGGGGAACATAATATGTTCCTTGTTGATAATACGTCCAAAACAGCAAAGATTATACCGCACCGAACGGGACCAAGAGGTCATAAACAATATATGACAGAACCCAAGTCCAATGAACGTCATCACAGGTTTCAATTAGAAAAACCTCACGTGATGAAAGTGATCGATGGACGAAATGAAAGACAGAGGGACATAGGCAAACAATATATTGAAACAGAGAAAACTATTGCCAAGAAATCCATAAACGATGTTTCCAAAGACATCCATTCGGTGAAAAATAAAATATTAAATCCCGAAGAGGTTAAACAGATTCTCGCAAATGTTCAAGACTGGTTTCATGTAAAGGATGTTTCCCAAAAGGATGCGTTACTAAACAGACATGAATTTGTATATCATCTGAATTCAAAGCTGTGCTATGATGATATTGACCTTTTGATATTCGTCCATTCAGCTCCTCAAAATAGTGATAAAAGGGCTGATATCCGCAACACCTGGGGGTCTGTACGAAGATACCGAAAATTATCCATCGCCACCGTGTTTATGTGTGGAGAGACAACAAACCCTATCCTTCAGGAACAATTAAGGACAGAATCTAATACATTTGGAGACATTGTTCAAGGTAACTTTCTTGACTCGTACAGGAATCTGACTTACAAACACGTCATGGCCCTTTGCTGGATTACGTCACAATGCCATGGCGTCAGAACTGTTGTCAAGGTCGATGACGATGTTTTAATCAATATTTACAAGCTGGTCAATTACTCCGTCCAGACTGGTCACTATCATGGTAGCCTCTACTGCTCATACTTCTTTGGGGGAAAACCGATCAGAAGTACTTTCGACAAATGGTACACACCGGAAGAACAGTATCCATTTGAGATATACCCTCCATATTGCGAGGGTATGGCCTATATCACGTCCGCGGATGAAATTAAAGCTCTGTGGAAAGCGTCTGAAGATATGAAATTCTATTGGGTCGACGATACATTCGTCACTGGTATTCTTGCGCGAAAAGCAGGTCTTTCACATCGTCACTTAATGGAGCATCACAGCTATGTGAAAGCTGGGAGGGTTCACGAAACTCCCTTTCTGTCTGTGCTCTTTTTCCTAGAATATAAGGACTGGCCTTCTTTATGGCAAAAGGTGGTGAAAATGAAGAACAGTTTTAATGACATGTTGAATAGTAATGAAAGGGGACGCTCTTAATGAGAAATTTTAATGATTCGTCATCGAGCACAAGCAAAAGGGAAGTTCAAATCTTTGAAGGGCATTTAGAAGTGGAATGCTTAAGAAAGGCAAGATTTATGGGTGTCAAATTCTTTATTGTGAATACCACGACGTTTCGGAGTGTATGACATGAATGTATGTTTGCTCCCTCATCACCTGATGGCGTCGTGTTATTCACAATAAAGAAGTTGATTTCCATACGTCTTGCTTTTCTTAAACATTAAGTTTAGAATTATTGGAGAGTATTCTTGAAATAGAACAGATCCCGTTAATGAATCCGAACGAGCAACTGTTAATGCATCCTAATGCTCTACAGTGAATGTATACTATCCTAAAAAAACCCGGATAGACCAGAAATATGTTGCGAAAATGTTTTATTTTCAAACTTGTATAACTCGTCCACACTTAGACTTTAAGAAATGAATTTTTACATCAGTTTAGAAGAAGGTAATGTCTATACAACCAAGTGGATACTTTAAGATAACGGAGACGTTGAGCGCGATGATGACGACGTAGCACGGTCCCGACGTCGGGTCTCCTGGCTCTCAGACCAATCTCTTTCAACCTGCTCCGTACAGTTTGACCGGATATCCTCCTAAGTCCAGGCACCCTGGCTGCTGCGCTCTCACCCGTGGCAGTATGATCACGCAAATGTAGTACCCGGATGTACGGATCTTGGGCTGCAGTAGTGACTCGAGGTCTTTCTGTACGGGACAGTCATTTGTTATACCTGTTTGGTTGTAACTAGCTGCAAGCCGTGATATCGTGCTCAGACTAACATTTAGACGCCTAGCAATAGAAGATTGGTAATCTCCAGCGTGAATTCTTTCAATGGCGATGTTCCTAACCTTGTCGCAGCGTCAAGACGTGGCGTAGTGATTTGACCTTGAAACTCCTTGAAAACGAATGCCAAGTTCCGAAAGTAGTCTGGATTTTTATAGCCAGACAGTGCATGCTCTGTGCTGCACAGTTTCAACTGGAAGACGATTTCTGTTCCATTGTGGCGATGCCTTTTTAATCCCCGTAAGAAATCTCATCAAAATCAACATTTTCAGGTAAAGTCGATTTTTCCCTTGTGCAATTGTGTAAAATCATGTCATCAACACTTTTGTAACATATTTTGACGATTGTTTGAACACAATAGGTAATTAATAGATATTTTAAAAATACAAATCGCCTAGGCGTTTCTTTTTTGGGATAATATATTTTAATGTTACAATCTGTCAGATCATTTCTTGAGAATAACACATGTACCCCACCCTGTGTTCTGTGATAATACATAGATGTACTATTATCATATGGTAGTATATCGAAACTCTTGTCCTGTGTTCAATATTCAAATATGGGCAGGTTGCCTTTTCTGGTATGCTGCATATTTATACGTGGTGTGCTATGTCATATACATTTGACACATCGACAAGACACCTCTTGTGCTATGTCATGTATTGACATACTGACAGGGATGCTCGTGTCCTAATATATGTTTTGACATATCGACAAGATACCTGGTGTGCTATGTCATATACTGACATATTGACAGGATACATCGCACCTTTCGACATATACACGAGACAAATTGTCAAGATACCTGGTGTGCTTATGTCATATACTGACATATTGACAGGATACATCGCGCCTTTCGACATATACACGAGACAAATTGTCAAGATACCTGGTGTGCTTTTGTCATATACTGACATATTGACAGGATACATCGCGACTTTCGACATATACACGAGACAAATTGTCAAGATACCTGGTGTGCTTATGTCATATACTGACATATTGACAGGATACATCGCGCCTTTCGACATATACACGAGACAAATTGTCGAGATACCTGGTGCGCTATGTCATATACTGACATATTGACAGGATACATCGCGCCTTTCGACATATACACGAGACAAATTGTCGAGATACCTGGTGTGCTATGTCATATACTGACATATTGACAGGATACATCGCGCCTTTCGACATATACACGAGACAAATTGTCGAGATACCTGGTGTGCTATGTCATATACTGACATATTGACAGGATACATCGCGCCTTTCGACATATACACGAGACAAATTGTCGAGATACCTGGTGTGCTATGTCATATACTGACATATTGACAGGATACATCGCGCCTTTCGACATATACACGTGACAAATTGTCAAGATACCTGATGTGCTATGTCATATACTGACATATTGACAGGATACATCGCGCCTTTCGACATATACACGAGACAAATTGTCAAGATACCTGGTGTGCTTATGTCATATACTGACATATTGACAGGATACTTGTGCTTTACGACATGTACATTTGAGACCTTGTTAAGATACCTGGTATGTCATATATTGACATATTGACAAAGATACGCGTGTCCTAAGGGATGTTTTGACATATCGACAATATACCTGCTATAATATGCCATATATTAACACATTGACAGGTTACCTCGTTTTTATATGACACATCTTGTCACATCGTCAGGAGGACTCGTGTTGCATGTCATATAATGAGACATCGCCCAGATACCTGGTGTGTTATGTCATATACTTTCATTTTGTTCTTTATCATTTTGCTTTTGTACTAACGTACCCCTTGTACTTACATACCCATTTAGCCAATGCTGGACAAGTAACATTATTGACCATCTATATATAGGGTATATATTAAGGAATGAGTGAGTGAGTGTTTGGCGCCGTGTGAGTTGGATGTGAGAGGAAAGCCCAGAGTGATGCTGGCCTAGGCACAAACAACATAGCTGAGTGAGTGTGTGGTGATCAGTAGCTGAGGGACGTAAATACAATAACAGGACTCTATTTAAGAGAATAAAAGTGAGTGAGTGAGTATTGCTTTACGCCACTTTTAGCAATATTCCAGCAATATCACGGCGGGGGACACCAGAAATGGGCATCACACATTGCACCCATGTGGGGAATCGAACCCGGGTCCTCGGCGTGACAAGCGAGCGCTTTAACCACTAGGCTTCACAACCGCCCCTAGCAAACCTTTAGGTTAAAACAGTCGTCGGAACACAACCACTTTTGCCAGACAGTATATGCATTGAGTGAACATTCTATTATGTTGATCTATCAATTATGATTCCAATTCATCAGACCCTTGAAGATCTCAGGTTTTCAACAACCAATGCTTGTCGTAAGACTAACGGGACCGGGTTGGCAGACTCGCTGACTTGGTTGACACATGTCATCGTACCCCAATTGCGTAGATTGATGTTCATGATGTTGATCACTACATTGTCTGGTCCAGACTGGATGATTTACAGACCGCCCCCACATAGCTGAGTGGGGCGTTAAACTACAACCAACCAACCAACAACAAATCCAAATCATCCGTTACGTTACGGGGCAACTTGCGTTGTGAGGTCAAATGCAACACATGTTTCGTTTATCATCGTGTCGAAGTCCTCGGGCAAGTGTGTGGCTCTGACAAACTAAGAATGTGGGATTGGAATCCTGGGGAACAAGGAAGAAGAGCGCTGGACGACAAAGGCACTCACACAGATAAAGATAGTGACGGGGGTCTGGCTGTGTATTATTGTATACTCTTCAAACAAGTAGGGGAACTTTCAATTTGGATAGGAAGTATAAGCGTTAACAAACATGCAAATTTCACGTCATACACTAATCACGTTTCAAGAGCGATTATTGTACAAAACTATGGTCATAAGGAAGTGCAAGTGGTGATGCTCTCTCTAAACATTCATTATTATCATATCAAAAGTGACTGAAACCGATATATCTCCCAATTTTCTCAATCATAAATTAAAATTGAAGTGCCCCTACTTTTTGGGAAGAGTATATATACTTTTAGGATGGATTGGTGGGGTATAAAAAAGACACAAGACCTGAAGACGATAATAGTACAGTGTTGTTCATCCACATATCCAGATATCACAAAAGTATAAAAACGTCTATGTTTAACGAGACAACACAAATATAAAATTGAAAATGATAAAAATACAGTCCAAATATGTGAAAGATTCTGTAGATATACATAGTTACAAAGTGTTACACGTTACAACATTTTCCTTGAACAAGAAGGTGTTACAGCATGTCTTAAAACGAGGCGGCGTTACATCACTTCCTTGAACAAACAGGCGCTGCAGCATGTCTTAAAACGAGGCGGCGTTACATCACTTCCTTGAACAAACAGGCGTTACATCACTTCATTGAACAAACAGGCGTTACATCACTTCCTTGAACAAACAGGCGCTGCAGCATGTCTGTTAACAAACAGGTGCTAGCAACATGCCCTGTAACAACAAGTCATAACATCAAGCCCTTGAACACACATGCGGTACAGCATGTATGTGAAACATCAGGTGTTACAGAATTCCTTGTACAAACAATTGTTAAAGCATGTGTCTGAAATGTCAGGTGTTACAGAATTCCTTGAACAAACAATTGTTAAAGCATGTGTCTGAAATGTCAGGTGTTACAAACAATTGAATTCCTTGTACAAACAATTGTTAAAGCATGTGTCTGAAATGTCAGGTGTTACAGAATTCCTTGAACAAACAATTGTTAAAGCATGTGTCTGAAATGTCAGGTGTTACAGAATTCCTTGTACAAACAATTGTTAAAGCATGTGTCTGAAATGTCAGGTGTTACAGAATCCCTTGAACAAACATTTGTCACAGTATCCCGTGAACAAGCATTATGTACCACTTAACAAACACATAGTTTAGAGATGCAAAGCACATCTTGTGTAGGATTTGGTCGTTACCTTCGTTATGTTAAGGATTATACTTTGACTTACAATCATGTAACCATGTTTAGCATTATAACATAGAATTAAAATAAAATAGGCGACAACAACTGCAGGAACCTTGAACCTAACACAGAGGTAGAGGTAAGAACGTCAGCTTAACACGGCTGCATACAATACAGAATGATGACGTACATACATATATTCATAACTGCCGTCACAAGCATATAAAACTCGTTACCAAAGGTATCAGGGCACACCATCGAAAACAATATCTGTTTCCCGGTTTCAATCCTTCACCAATGCAGTTTTCCGATTTTTTAGTATATTGGTGAAGTGATTCTCTCACAAGCTCTGAGTTACCGCATAGGGTGTGTGAAACGTTTGGTGCGAATGATGAAGCTTGGATTACCAGTATTTCAGTGATATCACTGCATGCCAGCGAGGGATGAAAGCCGAAGACATGTACTACCAGCTTGGATTACCAATATTTCAGTGATATCACTGCATGCCAGCGAGGGATGAAGCCGAAGACATGTTATTATTACCAGTATTTCAGTGATATCACTGCATGCCAGCGAGGGATGAAAGCCGAAGACTGTACTGTTAACAGCTTATTACCAGTATTTCAGTGATATCACTGCATGCCAGCGAGGGATGAAAGCCGAAGACATGTACTGTTAACAGCTTGATTACCAGTATTTCAGTGATATCACTGCATGCCAGCGAGGGATGAAAGCCGAAGACATGTACTGATTATTACCAATATTTCAGTGATATCACTGCATGCCAGCGAGGGATGAAAGCCGAAGACATGTACTGTTAACAGCTTGGATTACCAGTATTTCAGTGATATCACTGCATGCCAGCGAGGGATGAAAGCCGAAGACATGTACTGTTAACAAACGGAGCTCGGATTTGAACTCCGTGCACTGGATCCTGGTACGATAAAGGGCCGCAACTCCTCTTAGACAATTTGTCACCCCATCACCCCGTCTTTACTGGAAAGTATACAAAAATACATCCACCCAAGGGGAAAGTTATTTTTTATGAAAATGTGGGTGCGAGATTATGGTATACCACGAACTGAATAAAACGTTGTGAACATTCAGTAACTACGATTCCATTTGTAATAAACATACATATGTGACGATTACATGTTACATGGCGTCGTGTAACGTGCTCAGCACATAGTGACAACATATCATTATTAAGACTGCTCCTCTAAAGTAAACAAGCAAACATTGTGAATACGGCGGCAAGAATATGTACAGTACGTGCACATTAAGTTAATTGTTACCATTAAAGTACCAAATTTGATAAATATATCATTCCGAACAAACTACAAGTTTTGTTACATTAAATTATCAATTTACGACAAGTGCATCGTTTCCAACAGGTAAGATGAAAGATGGAGACAGTTCTTTACCGATTTTAAAACACGTAAACAAGAATGGGACACGAGGTTCAGTCAGCACTAAACCACTCGCTAACACAAAAAATACACGATGAAGTTCATTTCGAGATATGATTACAATATTGTACATTGTATGAAAACACTGCACCATGTAGACCCGCAATCTTCCATATCATGAAATCTTCAGTCACGTGGTACCTTTCCTGTCATAACGCAGAAAGCACGATAAACACGTGGTGAATTCAGTCCCAGTTTATGTACCCTTTTTGATGATTTGAACTCATGGATTTTATGGTCCCAGAATATTGATCTGTTTTCAAAGAATATCAAGCTCCGTATATCCATGGTCACGCAAGGTTAAGGCCATTTCAGACGCTATGAAATCCGTCAGTGTTTGACCAATTTGTAATTTGAAATATTACGCATTGAACAACCATTGTACTTACGAAGAAATACGTGTAAACTTAAATAAAACACGGGGCTGTGAAAAAGGACACAGCGTGTAGTAATATTTTCATACGATGTTAAGATTACAGTCCCTAATCATATGACTGAACTACAGTTGATCTGACGAAACCCGTTCAACATGTACAATTTAAACATTTTCTTAGTTTCCGGTCAAGATCATCGGTCAAGGTCACGGGACAAAGGTCATGGTCATACACCTCGCGTAAACCAACAGCCATATCTACCCAGGGATACTGAGCTAGTTCTGCTTGATCAGTGTTCCAGTTGTATGACGGCGGGTCTGCTTAGTGTGGGGGGAAAACCCGAAATGATAAATACCTTAGACGTTTATCACGTTGGTAAAACCCACGCGTATGGTGCTGACAGAAGATCCGGGATAGAAGTGATCTTCAGAAACCCATGCTTGTCGTAAGAGGTGACTAACGGGATCGGGTGGTCAGGCTCGCTGACTTGGTTGACACATGTCATCGGTTCCCAATTGCGCAGATCGATGCTCATGCTGTTGATCACTGGATTGTGTGGTCCAGACTCAATTATTTACAGACCGCCGCCATATAGCTGGAATATTGCTGAGTGCGGCGTAAAACTAAACTCAGTCAATGCTGACAGACTTGGAGCTGTAATCCCGGCAACTCTGGCAATCGAACCAGGATGTCAGTGATACATACTACGCTTGATTATATATAATTTGTGGTGATATAATTCAAAGTTATCCAGGAAAAGGTACAACGTCTTAGTTGGTAAAAATACTCCTGAGACAATTGTCTCACGTTGTGTCATTGCCATGGTTACTGGAGACAACGGTAGTGCCGAGTACAGCGTCAGTGACGAAGAGTATGACGTCACAGAAAAATGTTGCGGAAGTTCCATTATTTTACGGGTATTTTTTTGTCAGCATTTGATAATGCTGTCATTTCATTCCCGATGACTGAAATCACGACAACTAGGGCTTTCTCCCAAGACGTTTTGGTCAGTTCTGTGCACTTGTCTCCCAAAGCTTCTTGCAGGTACCGGACAAAGGTCTCGAACAGATCCTGGAACAAAACCATACCCTGTCAGGCCTAACGAGGAGTGAGTGAGTGAGTTGGGTTTAACGGCGTACGTGAACAGTATATCAGCTTGACATAGGAGTAAGGCCCGACGTGATGCAAGGCTTACATGTTTACCACTTTTGTGTGCGTGTGCGTATGCGTGTGCGTCTATGTATGTATGTGTAAAAGAGTGAATGGGTGTGAAGGGGTGTGTAAGAGAATGAATGAATGAGTGTGTAAGAGAGAGTGAATAGGTGTGTAAGAGAGCAAATGGGAGTGAAGGGGTGGGTAAGAGAATGAATGAATGGGTGTGTAAGAGAGAGTGAATGGGTATGTAAGAGAGCAAATGGGTGTGAAGGGGTGTGTAAGAGAATGAATGAATGGGTGTGTAAGAGAGAGTGAATGGGTATGTAAGAGAGCAAATGGGAGTGAAGGGGTGTGTAAGAGAATGAATGAATGAATGAATGAATGAGAATGTGGTAAGTAAGAGAGTGAATGGGTATGTAAGAGAGCAAATGGGAGTGTGAGAGAGTGTGTGTAAGAGAAATGAATGAATGAGTGTGTAAGAGAGAGTGAATGGGTATGTAAGAGAGCAAATGGGAGTGAAGGGGTGTGTAAGAGAATGAATGAATGAGTGTGTAAGAGAGAGTGAATGGGTATGTAAGAGAGCAAATGGGTGTGAAGGGAGTGTGGGGGTGTGTAAGAGAATGAATGAATGAGTGTGTAAGAGAGAGAGTGAATGGGTATATAAGAGAAAAAATGGGAGTGAAGGGGTGGGTAAGAGAATGAATGAATGGGTGGGAAAATGAATGAGTGAATGAGAGTGAATGAGAGGAATCGGTATGTAAGAGACAGAGAGAGAGAGTGAATGGGTGTGTAAAAGAGTGGATGGGTGTGTAAGAGAGTGAATGAGAATGAATGGGTGTGTAAGAAAGTGAATGGGTGTGTAAGAAAGTGAATGGGTGTGTAAGAGAGTGAATGGTTGTTTATGGGAGTGAATGGGTGTGTAAGAAAGTGAATGAGAATGAATGGGTGTGTAAGAAAGTGATTGGGTGTGTAAGAGAGTGAATGAGAATGAATGGGTGTGTAAGAAAGTGAATGGGTGTGTAAGAGAGTGAATGGTTGTTTATGGGAGTGAATGGGTGTGTAAGAGAGTGAGTGAATGAATGGGTGTGTAAAAGAGTGAAGGGGTGTGTAAGAGAATGAGTGAATGGGTTTGTAAAAAGAGTGAACGAGAGGGATCGGTGTGTAGGAGAATGAATGAGAGTGAAGGGGTGTGTAAGAGAGAGAGAGAGTGAATGGGTATGTAAGAGAGTGAGCGAGTGAATGGGTGTGTAAAATAGTGAATGGGTGTGTAAAAGAGTGAATGAGAGTGAATGGTTCAATAAGAGGGGGAATAAGGAGTGAGTGAGATAGTAAGTGAATGAGTGAGATAGTGAGTCAATGAGTGAGACAATGAGTGAACAAGAGAGTGAGGAGAGAGTAAGTGACCAAGAGAGTGAGTGAGTGAGACAACCCGTGACGTCACAATTCCGGCCCACCTTGTACTGCTTGATCCTGATGTTTCGTCCGAAATGGCTCTGGGCGTTTCTCTGGAGGATGTCAATGAGACATTCGGGATCATCCAAATTGTCCACAACTGAAGTCAGTGCGTGCATCACTATCGAAGCGTGCGCGCGCATTTTGGGGTTATCTCGGAGCTCTTCCGGTTTTTTGTCCTTGAATGCTTCAAAGAAGGTTTTGTCTTCGGGATAGTCCTTGAAAAACCTGAAAAAAGGATAACAATAATTATATATGTGTAATGCATGTCATACACAGTACTCGAAAGATTAACTGAACTTTTGTTGCACTCTGTGGTGTGTTTTGTCGCCCACAGCAGCGATTACCTAAGTGTTGTTTATGTGTGACCATTTACAGTCGCATGGGCAGTTTCGGTATTCGTTGTAACATCCCCCACCCCACACACACACACACATCCCCCGATATATTCTTTATAAGATAGACAGGATAAATGTATCGTATCGTGATACCTTTCTGCTATGAAAACATGTATATGAAAGAATATTTGTTATCATTTACACCAATGCAAATATTCTTATTTGCACCAACTGTGCACTCAAAGGATTCAGAATAACATCAGCCTTTAATGTGCCGGAAAGCTTAAATAAGCAGAACAGTGACCCAAATCCAGAACAGATCCAGGTTGGAATCTTCAGTTACCCATGCTTGTTGTGAGAGGCGACTAACGGGATCGGGTGGTCAGACTTGCTGGCTTGGTTGACACATGTCATCTCGTATTCTAATTGCGTAGAACGATGCTGTTGATCACTGGAGTTTCTGGTCCAGACTAGATTATTTACCGACTGGCGTCATATATTGGCGAGTGTGGCGTTAAACAATAAACCAAATATTTTAGAAAATATGCGTCCCTCAGAGATTCAAAGATGTAAAGTATTTTATGAGCGCTTCAGTGCCCCACCTGCCTGGGACGTGATCTGCGGATATCATATTTGTCAGATAACTGTCAATGAACAACATTAACAGGTATACTTTCTGCCTGCTGAACCCGTAGTCTCGGTCTGTTGGACACTAAACCTGCAAACCCCAAACAGATATCCTTCGCCGAGGGCGAATCTTCTCTCCACGTCAGACGTGGAACCCGTGTAACTGTATATTAACACTGGTGACAAGTGGTCTTATTGGGCATGCAGTGTTAAGTAGTGTATATATTTACACAGAATGCATATGCGCATGTACATTTATCTTTGAGCAACAGTATATGCAGGTGTTTCTGGTGTCCCAGGTATTGACATATAAAGCATACTAGCTTACTCACTCACTCAACGTCGAAATCTGAGAATCTCTGCCAATGTACCGAATATGAACCCGGTTTCTATAGCGTGTCTGTCGAACATTACCACTGGACTACCCTACACTCTGTATCTCAGTGAGTGAGTGAGTGAGTGAGTGAGTGAGTGAGTTTAATTTTATGCCGCTTTTAGAAGTATTCCAGCAATATCATGGCGGGGGACACCAGAAATGGGTTTCACACATTGAGTGAGTTATAGTTGTACGCCGCTTTTAGCACTATTCCAGCACTATCATGGCGGGAACACCAGCACTGAGCACCACACACTGTGCCCATGTGGGGAATCGAACCCGGCTCTTCGAGGTGACGATCGCGAGCGAATGCTTTAACCACTAGGCTAAACACACACACACACACACACACACACACACACACACACACACACACACACACACACACACACACACACACACACACACACACACACACCATTTCTTGCCTCTTCCCCCACCCACCCACCCACCCACCCACCACACACACACACACACGCACACTCTGAAACCTCACATTGTTGAACCTTTGTTAAAATAAGAGACACTGAAACAATGTACTTGAATGGAAATTGATATTTAATATGTTATGATATTATGAATGAAGTTAGTTAAACCTCAACTTCAATGTTATTGACCTTTTGTTCAAATATTTTTGTTATCATCCATTAAAACCATTTTCTCTAACTCTCAGTTTTGTTATTGCTCATTAAAATAATTTTCCTAAGTTCTAAGTGTTTGGGCTGGTTCATTGTATGAAATAGGTAACAGGCAGGAGATTAGCAGTGCACTGGACCATGAACTTTGTTGTTTTGAGCTGTAGAGGTTATGGGCTGTAGGGGTTATGGGCTGTAGGGGTTTTGGGAGGTTACCTGAAGATTCAGATCCTGAAGAAATCTAGACTTGCTTCATTTAGCATTGCAGAATGGACTTGGCGGAAGGGAGAATGATGTAGTTGAGGGACTGTGAGACAGACTAAAATATTGTACCCGAGCATATATACCCCAAACACTTAACATACAATACCTAAACACACAGCTGTTTTTATGCACCCACCTAAGCCTAATACGCTTGCATTCTTCAAATTGAAGTTTGAACAAGCGGTATTCGGTTACTGTTTAAAACACACAATAACAATTGTCAAAGTGAGTTATCAATGGAATACCTGTTAAAGTGGGCCGGGGTCGGCCACAAGGAGGGCCCGAGTCTACCTCTGGCAGGCAGAGTTGATGTAAACACACAGACACGTTTAATGGCGGACACATTCATTCAGACTGCCTGCTTGCAGCAGGCCAGAGTAAACACTTCACCAAACAAAACACACGCTCTTCTAGGTGTATAGACCTGTCATAGAATTCAAGATGGTCATTTTCTCAAGGTGATGTTTTCCTTCTGTCGTATACGTGCTAGTTCGTTACGCTGGGCAAACACAGCACAGAGGCGTGACTTGTTCATTGAGCACACACCCGGGTTTCATGTCAGATCTTTAAGGTGGTAACAAGATGGGCGTGTGCGACAATGTTGTTTTGCGCCGCACTCAGTTAGTGGGTGAGTGAGTTTAGTTTTACGCTGCTTTTAGCAATATTCCAGCAATAGGTGAGGTGAGGTGAAATAGGGGTTAACGTCGCACTTAAGAATATTTCGCTCATAATTTATGACGACGTGCATGCGTGTGTATGTGCGGCTGCCTGTACTAGCCCAGACTTAAGCTGGTTTTATAGTGCTAGCCCACTGAGATACCATGCCGCAGTGAAGCATGAATACCCCACTCAGACAGGCATGTTCTCATTTCGCCTACATCCCAATTCGCCTACAGTCTTAAAACAACATTTTATGGTCTGTTGACTGTTGATTACGCAATGGTAAACTAGTGGCACCCCTATGATCTAAAAGTGGACTCTTCTAGTTGAAGTAGTTGAACCGTCAGACACATTATACTGACTCCGAGCCGACCAGTCCTTGTTGTACGCATTAATGCCAAGCGCCAGACAGGGACCAACAAGTACCATATAACCACTACACCACGGAGGCGGCTATTTCAGCAATATCACGGCTGGGCACACCAGAAATGGGCTTCACACATTGTACCAATGTGGGGAATTGAACCCGGGTCCTCCGTGTGACGAGCGAACGCTTTAACCACTAGGTTACCCCACCGCCATTCCGCACTCTGCGTCTAATTGCCATCTCACGACTGCCTTTTAACCGATAACATTCTCGCCTGACAAAACAGTGTAAACTGTGTCGATGGAATACATGGCCAATCTACCAGTCAGTTATGAGACAAAAACTGGTTCCGGATGAGATCTGCGACCCAGCAATATTCGCTTGATGACTAAATTCACCCGACGGACAGGTTGATTGGGTGTCATCGTACGGCGAGGATCAATGCTCACGATATCAATCACTGGATTGTCTTCTCCAAATCCAGAATAAATCCTACCCAGAATGTTATATAGTTAGAAATATTGCTGAGTACGGCGACTAGTCAGGTTAGAGATTAGTTCTGTAATATCTCAATACTGAACAGTCGGTGAGCCCCGCTAATCATTTGTTTTGTCGAGTCAGATGGACAGATGGAAAGTGTAATGCGTGAAACTGAACACAATACACCATGTTAGTTAGTGAGTGAGTGTGTTGGGTTTAACGCCGCGTTTAATAATGTCCAAGTTGCATCACGACATGTCAGCTTATTGTGGGAAAAGGGAAGCAACTCTGTACAGCGAACAGCGTCTCACAGACCATTGCGCTACCTGTGCCCCCACATGATGCTACTGGATATTGACACCACTACATCAACATTATCAAGATTACCAAGACGCACATCATGTTGATGACTATGTTTATCCAATAAACATGTCCCAATTACAGGAATCTTGTTTTCTAAGTCTCTCACACAGATCCTGAAACTGACTGACGGACTGACTGTGTTTGGTTTTACGCCGCTCATAGCAATATTCCAGCAACATCACGGCGGGGGACACCAGAAATGGGCTTCACACATTGTACCCATGTGGGGATTCGAACCCGGGTCTTCGGCGTGACGAGCCAACGCTTTAACCACTAGGCTACTCCACCGCCCCAGATCCTGAAACAACATATCCTAAGCATGTCTATAATAGACTAGGTGTCGTTAGTTCCAGGAGATTCTAAGGGTTCTCTATCCTTATACGTCAAAAGCCATATTTACCAAAACAAACCCTAAATGTCTACCGAGTGCATCAAGGGTCTAAATAAAGCCACGATCCCACTTGCATAAAACAACCAAACACGGTCCTTACACACTTGAAAGCCGCCTGGTCGAACTCAACGGAATCTGACAAATTGTAGGACTTAACCGAGCGTCCGAATCATCCGAAAACCAATTCTCCAAGGTAGAGTAGCTGTCAGTACAGAGATGTTTATGTTACACAGGCAGTAACCTAGTTAGTAAAAACTAAATTCAAAGCATATTTTCGTTGCGGACGTATATCGGCACAACTTAGCCCATGCATGTTTCATTTCGAACAAATTAGTTCGAGTCAACCAAACATTTGATATATCAGAATAAAGAAATTAGTATTGTAACATCCATTTCGACACAACAGAAAATTGGATACATCAGATTTCAACGGTATCCATCAGTGCTACTCAAGATCTAAACGAAAGATCCTAGACTAGCAGACCTAGCAGTATGGACACAGGGGGTAATGGTCGAGACGGGGCAGTACATCTGTAGCAACATGTAAACAGCGTTTGGGAGAGTTGGCGTGTGTTTACGTGATAAGCATTGAATTCAGAGACAGATCGGGAACCTTCATTCAATACCGTTAGGTTTCTTCTTCTTTTTCTGTGGGACAGGCAAATTGGAATAAAACCCAGAAATTGTAGGTCAGATGTTGGCTTTGAAGCAATCTGATACCAGCTTC